GCGCTACCAGATCGATCAGGTAGCATGTGGCGCGGATGAACGCAGCCAATGTTATTGCGTTTGCTTGAATTACTGTTAGGTCTTTAAATTGTCCAAAAAAAAAAATAATGTCTGATAACAGCGGAAGTAGAGTAGACCGCAATTGTGGAGGGTCGTATATTGTTTCATTCATAAAAATTTCTTCGATACAGTACTAGTCCAGGAGCCAGTGAATTTTTTCGTACTTGTTTTCCCGGTCCGTGTATATTTAAATAATCTATTCCCGGTGAACTGTATATTTAAAATGGAACGCCAATCTATTAACAAAAGTAAGCCAGATTGAATTCGCGCATTACGTCACATCGATACAAGTGAGATTGTTTACAAAGTGCCTTTGCAGGCCTATTTTGCCCATTTCATGTATTTGTTTTTAAATCATGTTAAATTACTATTTTTGAAACTCAACAAGGAGCAAATCCAATTAACTCTTCCGTTGTGTATATATATAAGATAAATTAACTGAAGTTTTATTAGTAAAGTATTAATACTAAAATTTTAATGTAATTTACAGAAAATAGCTAGGTATGTATTTGTTTTTAAATAATTTGATAATTTATGAAAAAAGAGAGTAAAAGTGGAATGACCAGTGGCCAATAGGTCAGTCAATACAAAGTATCACATATTTCTATTACAATATAACTAAAATACCTACATCTTTTAATCATAAGGACATAATTTAAAAACCATTTTAATATATGCATTAGAATGAAGTAATAATAACTTAAAGAGACGAGGTCTTAAAGTAATAGCTGACAGCATGTTTTTTAAACGTTTCCTCATTGCTGCTAGAATAAAATCACTTACTATCGAATGTGCTCTAAAAACGGCATTTATAGCAGTCAGTGTTCAGTCTTAGGATCTCTTCCTAAAGCCCTCATCCAAACTGCATACATATTAAAAAATAATTAAAAAAAAACATATTATATACCTATATAGTTTTCGGTTCTGGGTGCCCTAAAAGAGGACACTTAGCCGACAATTTGGCTCAGATAGCTAAAACCCAAAAGTCACACCCCGAACCAGGACGTATTGCTATCCTTTTAAGTAAAAAATAACTACAAATAACTTACCTGAAAAATGAAGGCGTCTAACTTTACACCAAAAAAACCATACACTTTTTCCCATTGTTGCAAGCACCCGATGACGATTAGGTAGATAGATATCAACTAGAAGCATGTAGGTACTTAATGGTTATAAAGCTTATTTTAACACAAAAAGAATAAAGCACTAGTCGAAAAGCAGCAATCAAATATAAATAGACTACAATATTAAAATTCAAATTAAAAACTATATAAAAAACAAATACTCTAAAAGCGCAAAATCACACTAAAATTGCAAAAACTATTACTGTAAAATCATGAGATTACATCAATAATGCATATGCGTCGGAGTATCGCAAATGTCAAAAGTACAGTGTTCCCATGAACATTTAGCTATGTTTTTAGCAGTATTATAGGACCATTTCTACCACACGCATCCAACGATATTGGCGTTCCACAGTTCACTGTATTTTCCTCACACCTCTAAATGATTTGACATAACGAAACTAACAATAATTATAATTAATGTAGAGTAATAAGTGATTCGTGAATTCTAAGTAAAACAATTATTATATAAAAGTGTAAAATAAAATGTAATTTATTTCCCTATTTTCTTCTGTAATATCTTCAATTATTATGTTTAATTTCTATAAATAAACCAACTGGTTAGGTGAAACATTGTGATATAAGATTTTATTTATGTGTCCTATGCGTACACTTTAATATACAAAACACCTGGAACATTCTTTAAATAATTGTGGTCGTAGAAATAATTGTGTACATAACTCGTTTGAAAGTGTATTTTATGCACTTGCCAAATATATTATCCATACAGATTAATCAGACTATTTTTTTACTTAACTTCAGTACATCTCTTACTACTAAAATTATTTTTATCAATGGAAAAAAAGGGCCGTGTTCTCGTATGTTTTGACGCATTTTCGGCCTCAGCCTATCGGATCCCCCCTCTAAATATATATGAATTTTGCTTAGAATTGCTAATCCTATAATTCTCTATTCGTGCTTGCTGACTGGGAAAATAAATACCGAAAATCGTCACTGTCTCCTGGACTATACAATAGATGATGATGAGAACTTCACAACAAATACACTTTTATGAATGGCTAGTTGGGGATGTGGGATTATCCAATACGACTAGCATTTTGTTAATGAACTTTCAAAATAATCCAAACAATGAAGATATCCTTAAAGTCCAAGTTTAACGCGTTGTCAATGACAAGTGACGGCGACTTTTTTGTCGCAAAAAATACAGCTCTGAACGATAATATTTTCAAAAATGGGTTCAAAGTACGGTAAAGAATAGTGGAAAGTTTATAGTTTGTTTTACTTTTAATGCATAATATTTTAATAAGTGATATTTAACAAATACTTAAAAGTTATGGACTTTCCACCATTTTTTATAGTAATTAAAAGTTAAAACGCAAAATACATTCTTTTATTTTTACCGTTTTTCATCTTTCGTCTTTTTGATATTTAAATTTGATATTGTTTTATCACGAGAGAAACGAGACGAGACAAGACGAGAGAAAGGCTCTCTCGAGCGAGAGAAGCGTCTTCTCGTCGAGACTAGAGAACAGTTTTTTTTCGCCCTACGAGACGAGACGAGAGAGGCTACTTTCTCGTCTCGTCTTGCCTTGCGGCATCACTAGTGAGGAACCAAAAATGTAACTTTAAATGGATATTAGCAAAGTTAAGAAACAAAAATTAGTTCAAATAGTTCAGAAAAGAAATCTGTTGAAGATATTGAAAGTGAAAAAATAAATCAGGAGAAAGAACTTAGAAGAAGAAAATGAAAGAAAAATAATTAGACAGGGACAGGCAGTCTCTGATCTTGAAACACAACGAGCAACAATGATCAAAAAAATCTATTCCCTCAGATATTTAAACTCGTGTTTCAGATGATATTTCACTACATATCGATGACTTAATTGATGATCTTCACGATACCAATATAGGCTTTTCCCACAAAGCACACGGATGTCTTATGGACGTCTAAAAGACGTCCTTCAGGGACATAAAGGACGACCGAGGGACGTCCTAATGTCCCGTTTCCATCCATCTTAGGGACGTCCCTTAAGGACGTCCCTGAGACATCCCAAAAGGACGTCATAAGGACCTTTGCGGGACGTCCTAGGGACGTAAATCAGACGTCCGAGGGATGCTATTTGACCATAATCCATAAAGGGTAATAATAACAAAAATGTTAACAATAAAAGACCTTTATTTAACAACTTTTATCCTGAAAAAACTAATTAAAGTTAAACGTTTTCAGTTTACAAAAAAAAGGAATGAATTAAATTTGACACACAGCGCCGGTAAGATGAAACCTTCGGTCCTACTTATAGCTTGTGTCGACATAACGGAGTTTTATAATTTTGTCTAAATTAGTTTTGTTCCAACTTTCCGCCATTAAGGTATTTTCTTTCCGCCAGCGCCTACCGCCAATACACATCACTTATTCTCACCTTCACACAAAATACTCACTTTACTTTATAACCTCTTTACCACCAACATCAAAAAAATAACAAATAACACTATATAACCTTCTTTTTCCTTCGTTAATCTAACTCACTTATATATAAGTTAATTATTGAATGCCGAAAATTGTAGCTGTTGTTGTTCATTTGAAAATAAATGATAGGTTAGATTTTCTGTCCTCATACTCTTGCAAAAACAAAACGTTGAATTTCAAGTTATCGATGCTAGTACATAGAAAGTCCCATAGACGTCCGATGGACGTCCCGGACTCGGACCGAAAACTAAACGCTTTGTCGAAACGAGACCAAAATAGGACGTCCAGACGACGTCCTGCAAAGGACGTCCTAGCCTTCACTGTAATCGGAAGTCCAGTGAACGTTCCATTTAGATCCGGGACCAACCGGACCAATCAGGGACCAAATCAGGACGTCCATGGGACGTCCTGTGCTATCTTTGTTCGGACTATGTTTTAAAAATCACCTTTTCAATAGTAGTCTTTAGGGTCGCACATAAAAGCTTTGTGGGCCGCAGGTTGAGTATGGCTGTTGCAGGGTTTAACTTTACAGTTAAATTTTTACAAAGAAAACGCTATAGTTCTTCTTTTCATTTTCCAGAACTAGAAGACTACAAAAAACACTGCTTTTAGGCACTACTGGAACCAAGACATATATAATTATTTTAGTCGCCTGAATCTCAAATAAGTATTGTTCAACAAATATTTATTTTTGAGAAATTTGATTTTTCTTTTGATAATTCAATCTCTGATGGGAGTACACCATTCTATTGACGAAAGTAACCCACTGATGGGGTATTTTCAGGATTTGAAAAAATGTGAAAACAATTTGTTTACCCAAATTGGTTCGACATGAAAATTGATAAGAACATTTTAAACAATGTCTGTATATAAATAAGTTACGCTAAAATGTAAAAGTTTTCTGAATTTAATTTTTTTAAGAAAAAACAAAAATATTGGCGAAATGTTCCTCCCTTTCGTGCTACTTAAATAATTCAAACAAATGACATGTAGGTATTAATTTTTCTGATGTATACCTAGTTAATATTTTCATTATTCCCTATTATTGTTCTTCGCTCTTTTTTGTGCAATATTTATTTTTTTCGACCTGTTAGGATTCAGTTTTTTAATTCTACAATAATGATACTCTCTTTGTATAACATATTTGCGTTATTGACTGTCACTACTTTAATTTAAACCTGAAGTTGACCTTTAGCGACCGAAACTAATCAATAAAATGTGTAGTTTTCTTTCATTTACTCTTAACAATTGAATAACGTTCACAACCACTCGTACATTCATGTATTCAGTATTGCATACACTTCTTTAAGAAATTGTTCATATTTCCCACTTATTTTATAAACAATTTAACAAATAGGTACCTATCTACAAGGCAATCAGGTAAAAGTTCTCAAATGTCTACCAAATAAGTAGACTTGAATGATTGTGGCAATCAGTTTCATTCTAAACATTACTAAATAAACTACCATCCGTTTATCGTTTGATATTATTTAATTGCCGCAGTACCGTCGCGATTTGTTGTTTATATTTATTTATAGGTTCATTCTTCGGTTTCTTAATATTTTAGATAAGTATTCTTCAATAGTTCTTGTAGTACCTCGAGTAGCAATTAGAAATGCCGCGCGGTAAAATAGAACTCGATGATGACCAGAAGTTTGCATTAATGAAGGTAGGATTATTTTTTTATATTTAAATCAGTCATTCATTATTGTGATAACAACATATTAATAAGGTCTGATGTAAATTAAAAATGTGATAAGGAATATTTATTGCGCCTAAGCGCATACTAACATTTCATTTTAAAATGTTAAGTGAAATAAATCTAATTAAGTTAATATGTTTAAAAAATGCTATATTATTTATTAACTATTTAAAAATATGAATATACCTCTAAGAATAACTAATAAAATTATTGAATTAAGTTAGATTATTGTAGAAGTTGATTATTAGAGTGTATTTGGTAAAGTTAATCATTAAAAAAATCGCACATTGAAAACAAAAGTGACAATTTACAAAAATAAACATTTTTCAGAAGAGCTTTTAATATTATTTTTGATAATTGAATTAATTTAAAAAACGGACTCTAAACGGATGTATGGTGTCACTTTTTTTAAAGGTGCCAAATTTCGGTTTTTAACACCAGAAATCAGAAAAAAATTTCTTTTAAATATATTCAAAAAATTAATGTTATCTTTAATTAATTATTTTTTATGTATCCATGGTGTTTCTTAGTTAAAGGAAAATATTTCAATGGTTATCGAGGTGGTTTTTACAATCTTTATTACTGAGATACCGATTTTGCTTATTTTCTTCTAGGTTGACAACTATAATGAACCATATATTAAACGGAAGGGTTGGATCACGAAGGGCTTAGTAAATTCTATAAAGGAAAAAAATTAATTATACAAAGAATATCGAACAGACCCAACAAATGATTTAAAAAAAAATAGATACATTGATTTTAAAAGAAAATTAGAAAAAATAATTAAAATAACAAAATATAAGTACTATAAAAAAATGATTGATAGTAACAAGAATTCTTCAAAAAAACTGTGGAATATAATATAAAATAAATCTTTTACTAACGATCAAAATAAAATAAAAGAAATTAAAAATTCTAATAATGAATTGACCAAAAATGCTTAAGAAATTGCAGATGAATTTAATAATTTTTTTATTAATGTTAATGAAAGATACGCTAATGAAATAGAGCCTGTCACAGAACCTGAAGTTATTGAATTAATAAAATCTTTAAAGTCTAAAAAAGCTGCAGGGATTGATGGTATAAAATCTGAAATCTTAAAAAATATTGCACCTCCTCTAGTTCATTTAATTAATTCAATTTTCAAAACTTCTTGCGTCCCTCAAGAGTTCAAAACTGCAGTATTAACACCAATCTATAAAAAAGGAGAAAAAACAAATGTTTCAAATTACCGACCAATATCAGTAATATCATGCCTGGCTAAAGTCTTTGAAAAATCCCTTAAAACTCGCATTACTAAATTTCTTGCAAGTAATAAAATTATAAGTAACAATCAGTTTGGATCCCAAGAGGGGATCTCCCTAGAAATTAGAAAACATACCTTGTGTGTGTTTCTGGATCTGGCTAAGGCCTTCGATACAGTTTCTCATACGCAATTGTTGCAGGCACTGGATGATATAGGAATTCGAAGCGAACCAAATAAACTGAAAGAAAATGTATTAAATTTGGTGTACCACAAGGTCCTATCCTCTTTATTACTTATCTTAACAGTATTCTTACTTATTCAAGTACGGGTAGATTGATAAGCTTTGCAGATGATACGGCAATTGTTTACTCTCTTAATACCTGGACAAATTAAAAAAAACTGAAAATGATTTCAAAAATATACTCAATTTATTTAGTCATAAATTACTCACCGTTAATTTCGAAAAACTTACTTTGTGCCTTTTTCTAACAATGTTAGTACATTACCTAATTATGATATATTAACATTAACATTCAGTAACTGTTTTTATAATATTAAAGTTACAGGAACAGTTATTTCTTATGCAGATGATACTGTCATTCTTTTTAAGAGGGAGAGTGAGAAATAAGTCTTTTTAACAGCTGAGGATGGCTTGAGTAAGACAAAAATGTGACTTAATGACAGTTTTCTCAGTCTCAATGTCTCTAGTACAAAATTTATTACATTTTCACTTATTAATAATGACAAACCAATTCAATAGGGCCTGTTTATCAGTGTGTAACGATACAAAAAGAAAATAAATTATATAGAGTTAATGGTTGATCAACATCTAAGGTGGAACGAACATGTTACTTTTTTGAACAAGGGATTTAGAAAACTTATATATTTATTTCATGAAATTCGAGATATTCTTAAAAAAAATCTATTATTACTGATTTATAATGCATTGGCTGAGTCGCTGCTAAGATACGGCATTCTAATACGGGATGGGCTTCTAAAAAACGCTCTCAATGGGCTGAATTCAACACAGCAGAATACGTTGTTAAAAATATTGTTCAAAAACGACTTTAGATATTTAACAAATCTATTATATAAAGAATTATACATTTTCAATATTAAACAACTCTATACCTGCCAAACTTCTTTAGGGGCAATTTCTGACTGTGAAAAACTTCCTAAGCTTTCACACACGCTTTCCACAAGAGCTCTATTAAATAAGCGTATGCCAGTTCCTCTTTTTAAAAAAACGCACAGGCAAAAATATCTCATATTTTGGTCCCAAGATATATAACCTAGTTCCTATATACATATACATAAAAAATATTACAAATAAAAAATGAATTCAAAATGTTTGTACGGAAAACTATATTTGTAAGTTTAAATACTTCGGTTTTGACAAAAAAATAATAATGCAATTTATCTAGAATTACATAAGGAACACAAAAATGGTAAAATAAATTGGGGTTGCATTTTAAAATTTTAGGGGTAGGTGCCCTGCGGGTCAGGGGTTATATATGAATATATATGGAAAAGAAAAAAGTGAGAATACACTCAAAACCCACTGAATATTCCAATGGGAAATGCTATTGGAGTTGATAAAAAATATACTTTGTAGATAAATATCTGTTAATATCCTATCTATTTTTTTAGTCAAACTCTTTTGCTTTCTCACATGTTCTTGTTTGTGCACTGTGTTTTTGTTTAGTTCTAGTATCACAAATAAGAATTTCCTTAAAAATTTGGCACAAAATGAATTTATTTGTTACTTATGGACCTAACTGTATAAAATATACTCGGTTCATTTGTTTGGTATTAATATATTATTATGCAAGCTTGATTAGACTACGATAATCTAAAATTAACCTTTAGTTTTATTTCCGATATTTATTTTTTATCTGGGTTAACGATTTGATATTTTTATATGTTCATTTATATCTACATAATAGTATTATTCCATTCATATATTTACTAACCAGGATCGGATAGTGGTACTTTACAGGGCGGAGTACAATTGTTAAATAGACATTCTTATATATAATTAGATTTGTTTATTATTGTTAACTAGAGTACCAATTAGATGAATAAAAAACATTTAAATTCCAGTAAAGCAGCGCCTAAATCAAATATTTCAAGCAAATGGATTGCTTGAAGGGGTACCTACTATTGAGTAGGTACCAAACCAAGCTCAATCGCTAGATATAGATCGGTTAGACTTGTTTTAATGGGCCATTTGAAGGTGAGATGTTTAAAACAACACCAGAATATTTAAAGACTCTAAAAACATAACACTTCAAACGTTCCAAAAGGTGAGAGAGGACTTTGAACCTTGATACTACCTATAGTACATTTTTCTTTTTATTTAATAATTCAAGGGTAAAAAATAGGAGTTTAAGGTGAGGTATCACCCGATAACCTCTTGTTAATTAAAAACTGAAGTAGCAATTTCACATAACTGTAAAAACACACTGACTGATATGTAGGCGTAAATTGTATAATATATGCTGTAATAGATACTAAAAATATTAAAAAAATAGTGGGAAGGTTGGGATATTGGTTTTTATTTACTTCGTGTGTCAATATTAATGGGTTTTCCTCACCTGTAACTCAAATGGCACCATCAATCATTCTTAAGTCGCCCCGGAGTGTTACAGAAAATAGTAATAATAGCCGTCCCTTCCCCACACAAACTCAGTCAGCTTCAGGGGTTGAAATTCACTCGTAAGGGGGTGAATTAGGGAGAGTTTTATTATTATTTGTTGTTGACAAACGAAACAACTGAGTATAAGTGATTTAACAGACAGGGAACACTACTTATATGTTGACTTTATTAATTTCGTGTTGGAAAAGCTGAATTATTTAAAAAATGTTCTCAAAAACAGTGGAAAATTACAAATCATAAAGATTAACAAGTAGCAATTCTTTCTATAGACAGACAATTAATAATTTCCGTTTTGCTAACTTTTATAAACAAAAACAATGTTACCAACATAAAAATTTAAACAGATTATATCTAAAAAACACTTTCATTAATTTAAATTAATTAGTTAACTCTTAAATAATTAATTTTTATAGTGGTTAAAATTAGAATAATTTCTTAAGATCGCAGTTTCAGTGAAAATCCACAATGTTGGCTTACCCTGTATCATGTAAACCAGATTTATTGGTAGCGAGTAAGTATTTCTGTTTTTGTAATCGCTGAACACTTGTAAACACACTTTTTCTAATAAAATAACTTAATTAATCTATTTAGTTATTTAATATCTGTCCACGCACTAATGAGCTACCTTGTACGAGTAGGTAGCAATACTTTCTACAGCTACAGACAACTGACAATTTTCATTTTGCCATCTTTTATAAACAACAATAATGAGTTGTTAAAATTGGCATAATTTCTTAAGATCGTAGTTTCAATGAAAATCCACAATGCTGGGTCACCCTGTATTATGTAAACGAGACTTGCTGGTAGAGAGTATTTAAGTAAGGATTCATGCTAAGTATTTCTATTTTTGTAATCGCTCAATACTTGTAAACACACTTTTTCTAATAAAATAATTTCATCTATTTAGATTTGTAATATCTATACACTGGGAAAACTGCATTTCTTTTTATAGTCTATCTCTCTCAGCGCCAGTAACTCAAGTCTCACTCACTTTCCCGCTGTCTTTCTCTCAAACAATTCTCAGAAAATGACGTATTTCTTATGTCATGAACAACCTCCCACTACTGTAAAAAAGATCTGGTGCGTCACCTATGCCCCAGACACTCAGTTCGGTTCCAGTTACTTAACATCGGACAACGAGTTCGATAGAAGCTTTTTGAACGAGACAGTTGAGACACAATACACACGTTAATATTAAAGCTCTTCATAAACAAGCAAATGAATTCAAATGTGTGACGATCAACTTGATTTTACGTATTAGTTAAGAAGTTCTATGTTCTATCTACAAAACCAACATTCTTTGTACCTCAAGTGTGATTAATAAAAACACTTAGTTTTCTACTCAAACTCTCCAGTTATTTCTACAAGAAGTACCTAATTTTCCTCACATCAGCGACTTATACATACAAGACACTTATATCAAAAAAAATATTGAAAATAAAACCACCCAGACAACACACCAAATCCCAGAGATATCCACAGAATATCCAATATATCCACAGGATATCAGAAATATTCCGTGGATCTAATATGGATATCCAAATGTCCGTCTATATCCAGAATATAGAAGATATCCTATGGATATCCAGCAAAATATTTTATGGGTAGAAGTTCATGAGTAACCAATGATTATTAAATAACGTCGAAAGAAAATAGCAGAAATAGAAAATATTTCCAACACTCTGCCTTTGATTTTGCCCATTAAGGAGAACATCATCCTTATTAGGACTCCTCAGCAATAAATAGAAATTCTAGACTCCAGTCTCTAATGGAGTCTGTTTGCAATACCAGTTTTGATCGGTGGGTTGAGCATGAGTAGATATTCAAAGAGCGAAAGTAGTATCGCCATCTATACTTAGTAAGCAAAATCAAAGGTCGCTGTAGTACCTAGTTCAGAGATTAGGTGAAATAAAAGCCAGGCGGGCTATTCTTAAAAAAGGAAATAATTCTAGTCCTAATAAGGACGAAACCGGTCCAAGAATGACTTTCTTCTTAGTGGTCAAAATCAAAAATTATATCTAGCGGATATCAACCATGGTTTGCGTTCGCGCCTAGACTTTGATATATTTAGTGGATGTCCATGGGATATTGAATACACTTTAAAAAAATTAATTTTAAATATCTGAATATATTAGCCACAATGGCGAGCACAATGGCGTAATTTTTTAATAATTTACTATATAATTACTATTATTTATGGACATGTGCATGTCTATAAATTACATCTCATGGATATAAAATAGATATCCACCATGGACTGGACATTCAGTGGATATTGGGAAGTCCAGTAGATATCCAAAGGATTTGGTGTGCTGTCTGGGCAGTATTTTTTCAGTTATCCTTTTATGAATTTTTTATTCATTTAACCCATTGAGATAGAATAAAGAGGAGATGCTATGACGATGCTAAAAGTATCCGCACCTTTGCATTACACTTTTACGTCATATGTCAAACTGGAGCTAGCGAAACTAGTCAGTTTTGGTGAGAATAAATGCCATTTTTTAAAAATAGCTTCATTTAAATGATATAAAAAATTTTTATTCAGTCAATCTTTAAATGTAAAATTATTGACTTCAAATAAATAAAAATATGCCATTTTAATTATACGATGATTTATCTTCATGCAAGAATTTTAAATGTTCTGAATTTTCTCTTGGTTATATTTAGTAAGGAAGTAGTAGTAAATTATAGAATAATAATCAATGTAAGGATATAATATGTATAAGAGCTTTAATAAATTTTAATTTAATGTTTTCACTCAAGAGAAACTTCAAATAATGATAAATAAATTTTAATTTTAATAATGAATCGTTTACTACCTGATTGACATATTCATTAAAATTTAAATTGTCGTTTATAATGAGTCCCAAATTTTTGGTTGGCCATGCAATTCTTCTTTCATCTAAACCTAACAAACTAATACACCTGCACTTAAACTCCGGACTAAACAAATAACATTAAGAAAACGATTCACACATAATTAATGCCTAAAATAATTTTTGTTCAGTTTGAATGCCAAATTTCGATATCTCGATACTGTTGAAGTCTATTTATAGTACAAATCGCCTCAAGTTACAATCATTATTTATTACTATGTAACTAGGTGCTGTGTTGAAACGTTTTACTGCAATATGTTTTTTTCCTTTCAGAAACTGTAGTGCGCTTTATAAATTTCTATACCATATATTTAGAAATGGAGAAATAAAAAATAGGTTTTGCAGTTTGAAGTAATTACTTTCAAATATTTCTAATGCAGTCATGTATACCAGGGTGAATTAATTTAATATACCATTATTCATTAATATCTAATTAAAATATTGGTTTAGACAATATTAAAGGATTATTTCTCTACAGTCAATATTGAATTTATTTATTTTATATCCAATTTATTTATTGTTTCGGCCTTTACTTGATGAAAATCCATTTAATTTTGAAAGAGTAAAACCAAATTTGGTAGATTTTCACACTTTTATTTTAAAAATAAAAATTTTTAAACAAACACTAACATGACATATGTTTCGAAGTACAACTTCTTTTTCAAATGTGACTATTTACAATTCGGTATCCAATATATATACAAAATAATTTAACAAAACAAAGTACTTAAGAAAACATCAATAACATTACAAAATAAACTAACTATTTAAAGTAAATAAGGGTACTTAGGTAATTATAATATCCATCAAATAACAATAAGATAGCCCATTACCGGGATTATCTCACAGAAAACTGGGAAAGAGGTTTAATAAGGGTGAATTATTAATATCTAATTGACATTTAGTAAGTTATCTGAATTTTTAAATCTATTTATTTCAAGTGTTTCTAAATGGTTTAATTAGATATTAATAATTCACCCTTATTAAACCTCTTTCCCAGTTTTCTGTGAGATAATCCCGGTAATGGGCTATCTTATTGTTATTTGATGGATATTATAATTACCTAAGTACCCTTATTTACTTTAAATAGTTAGTTTATTTTGTAATGTTATTGATGTTTTCTTAAGTACTTTGTTTTGTTAAATTATTTTGTATATATATTGGATACCGAATTGTAAATAGTCACATTTGAAAAAGAAGTTGTACTTCGAAACATATGTCATGTTAGTGTTTGTTTAAAAATTTTTATTTTTAAAATAAAAGTGTGAAAATCTACCAAATTTGGTTTTACTCTTTCAAAATTATATCCAATTATTAGTGTATAATTTTAATGAGAATAAAATTGAATAGAGAGTGTTTTTGTTACATCACTTTCCTGTCAATGTGGCAGCTCTTATTTTACCGATATTTACCGATTAATTATCGTCTGTCAAAATGGTCGCCGTCCTTGAAAAACGATCAGGCCCTGTATCTCCGTTGCAAAGAGGTACCTAGGTAAACCCCATTCACCCAAATATTCATCTTTGATACAAAATAGATTATAATTTATCATTAATGCAAAAGATCTAAATTATATAAATTTACTGCAGAAGTACTCGATTTAAGAGGGTAAGCAAATGTGATTTGCATAGATATTAGAAAAGTTTTCAATCAAATCAAACTTTTTAATGATAAAATTAGGACGTATGGGACTATCACCATCTCTACTTTGTTTGCTGCAGAACTACTTATTTTGAACGTGGTCAATTTGTAAAGTACGGTGCATTTAGATCACAAATGTAGCCACTTCAGGTGTACCACCAGGATCCAATGTAGAACCCCTATTGTTTCTTATATATTTAAAACTATCGTAATATTTTAAAACATGAAGATACTTACAGATTTCAGCTTATTTTAGATATCCTCAATCATCTCTAGACAATTCTTTACCATTAAGTCTCTTTTTTTTTAATTTATGCTTATTTACTCGATTACTATATCAATAATAACACTCTTAAAGATATCGGTGTTAAATTTGACTATACATTTATTTTTAGCAAGTATTAATCTAGTTTTTGAATGTTGAGACTTTAAAATTGTTATAAATTACATTTATTTGAAGTAAATAGGAATATTGTAGTCTAATTTAGTCACACGTCTATCATAATTCCATGCAAACATTATAGAGCGTGTTTAAAGAAAATTTCTTAGATACATATAAATCATATGGAAATCAACCCACAAGAGGAATTATTTATGTACACATAAAACTTTTTATTGACAAGCTCAACTGTACATCCATCGGTCACTTTTAATTTTGTATCGGAATTTGTTTATTCTGATTTAATACAATGCTGGCGACGCGAGTACATTCAAATACAATCCTGCAACTTAAGTGCATCAAGCGAACCGCGACTTTTCTGAAAAGCGCTAGAAATAACGACAATAACATCTTCTGAGATAAAAACAGCGCTGTCACATTGGAAAGAGTAGAGTTAAACTTAATTGTTGGAGAATTTAAAATGTACAGTCATCGCAGCATAAAAAATGATTTACATCTGTAAATTTGATCAATGTAGTAATTAACGAAATCTTAATAGGTACGAATTCATCAAGAACTGACATTTTGCGCGTTGCTTCACAAATAAAACCATTATTTTACACTGGTAGATAATTTATTATCGATAAAAATATTTTACATAAATAATTAAATAAGTACATTTTAAAATATATTATACAGTCTACTTCAAATCAACCTTCGTCAGACGAATCCCCTCTGTCTCTAATCAAATGAACGGTTTCAGCTTCCAAAGCCAACTTTCTGATATTGGCCAAACATCCTGCAGCAGCTTCTTGCAGCTTGTGATCCCTAGACGAAACCGCCCTGAGGAGAAACATCATGACACCACTTTCGTGCATGGTGATGCAATTAAAAGCATTCTTCGAAAGGTGAAACAGTGCTAAAGCCGTAGTACGATGCACGTTTGGGTCATCATCTGCCATATATTGAACCAGAGGGGTTATAGCACCGAGTCTGTAAATGTTAATTTGTTTTTATTTGATATTAGTACTAAGTGATGGTATAGCAAGACCGAGAGTCCACACCAAGATCAAAAGCAAGACTTAAGAGCAAGGCTCCAGAGCAGAATTCAAAAGCAAGACTTAAGAACAAAACTCAAGAACAAGACTTAAGAGTAAGACTCAAGAGCAAGACTCAAGAGTAAGACCCAAGAGCAAGACTTAAGAGCAATATTCAAGAGGAAAACTCAAGAGCAAGACTAGAAACCAAGACTCAAGACCAAGCTTCAAGGCTCAAGATTAAGACTCTCTCAAGAAAAAGATTCAAAAATAAAATTCAAGACAAAGACTCAAGACCAAGACGAACACATCGATACATGACCAAGATTGAGCTGGTCGTGATCTTTTTATTCCTACAAGATAATAGGAGATAATAGGAGATAATAGGAGATAATAGGAGATAATAGGAGATAATAGGAGATAATAGGAGATAATAGGAGATAATAGGAGATAATAGGAGATAATAGGAGATAATAGGAGATAATAGGAGATAATAGGAGATAATAGGAGATAATAGGAGATAATAGGAGATAATAGGAGATAATAGGAGATAATAGGAGATAATAGGAGATAATAGGAGATAATAGGAGATAATAGGAGATAATAAGAGATAATAGGAGATAATAGGAGATAATAGGAGATAATAGGAGATAATAGGAGATAATAGGAGATAATAGGAGATAATAGGAGATAATAGGAGATAATAGGAGATAATAGGAGATAATAGGAGATAATAGGAGATAATAGGAGATAATAGGAGATAATAGGAGATAATAGGAGATAATAGGAGATAATAGGAGATAATAGGAGATAATAGGAGATAATAGGAGATAATAGGAGATGATAGGAGATAATATGTGAAATATCTAGATGTACGTTAAGCATATATGTTTGATCTCACTCTAGCGCAGCTCATTTATATTTCATACCTTCCAAACATTTTGCAATTGGATCCCCAAGCCGAACAGTACGCAATCGCCGATGCTAAATGTTCTCTGAGTTCCACGTCTTCGGTCGGTACCAAATTGACTAGCAGCGGTACGACTCCATGGTCGGTGATGATGGCCAAATTTTGAATATCTTGGGCGACTTCGGCTATGGCGGCACACGTGCACGCCAGCACGTGATTGTCGTCGGATTTCAATTGATTGACGATGAGTTCCAAACCGCCGACGAAACATCGCACCATTTCGCCCGAATCAGAGGCGTTTCGTACGCAAGGGACAAGGCACGAGGCGGAGTTTGCTTGGACCTAAAAGGAAACAATTACAGGTTTGTTCCAACACGCGCAAAAACCGTGATATAACATGATTTGTACGGTAATATTAGACCTTAGATTGACACATCCATTGTATTTTAGATTTCAAACTTGTAACATCGTCCATAATTATAATTTTGCTATGAAGAGCCGCTGAGGTTCCCCCTTCTACTGATAATCTGCGCGCAGGTCATGCTATAGTTTCCCTTGGGGCTTCTGTACCGAGAGATGCGCTTTTGTTTAAATACTTCAACCGGTGTAGAAGTTAAAAAGTCATTTCCGTCGAAAAAACAAAAAACAGATTTTAAATTTTGAAAAAGGAAACTAGTTTTGCGTTTTTGTCTAGTTGCCTTTAAGATTATATTGAAGTTTGCTTCGAGAAAAGAAAAATTGACTTGAGTAAGGGCTGCTGCGCGAAAATCTTGCCGAGAAGCTGCTCTAGTAGAGGCAGATTATTCGGAACCCCATGTCCCAAAGCACCTTAATTTGTAGGTGCAGCTATTTGTGTTTCGCATCTTTTATTTTAACCTGTTGTTTGGTTTTTACTTTGAGACAAATAATTATTTTCAATTTGAATGCCATTTTCGTCCCAAGTTCGATTACTGAATATTTTTCACATATGAAGAGATTGTTTAGTTACAACAACTTCGAATTAAATTATCTTTATTTGCAAGTTATGACAACTATCTCAGAACTAAATGACAGCCCTTCACCCCCTAGTGGTCTATCCCGTTCGCAGTAGGCATATAGTATCCACAATATCACCACATCCCCTCTCAAGCCTTTTACCGCTGTCCATTCATCTTTCACGTTCTATGTATTTTCAAATAAATTTCCTCTCTAAAATATATACGTCCACTCGCGGTTTTTATCAGGTAATAATCTTTTGCTATTAACTTCAACGATATCTCCTTCTTTGTCCATTAATTTACTCTTTGGGTCTTGAATCCAACTTTAAGTGACGCCAAATCTCTAGCCTTTTTATTATAATAGTAAATTGCCTTGTCGCGATGTATTCTTTTTATTCTATCGTGTCTACTGCATCCTGCCATTCTTTTGCAAATGCCTTTTCATGTGTGGGTACTAAAGTCCTAATAGGGTGACCAAATAAAACCTGAGCTGGAGATAGTCCATTCGATTTTGGAGTATTTCTCGATTCCAGCAACCCTGCACAAAATTGGTGGTCATCTAATTTGCCACCTTTCGTACATTTTGAAATTAAAGTTTTCATTGCTTTTACACCAGCCTTCGTAAGAACTAAATTGCTGCGAACTGGTTTATTTTGGGCAAAAAATTCAAGAGACATTTTTTGTTTAGAATGAAACAGGCTATCGGAAATAAATTTTTAAATGATAAACATATAATAAGACAAAAAGTTACGTTAAAACGAAATTTTAGGGGTTGTGTTTTCCACCCCTTACAACCATGGGGCAAACCAAATAAATTACTGGCTAAGTGTCTTTTTGGTAGTAAAAAATGTCAGGTTAATTTCAATATTGTAACTTGTTTAGTGCTTGTGAAAAAAATTGTTAAACAAATTTGATGTACCCCCTTTAAGGGGCTGTATCTTAACATGGGATGCTCCAATGAAGTTTCTTTATATGAAAGATGCTATCTTTTTTTCGATGAGGAATCATCCCCTTAAATGTTTTACACTTATTTAGTTACACCCTGTATAGTTCAATTTTTCAATTATATAAAAAACAGATTTTGAATCAGGTATGATCAATTTTCGAAAAAAAAAAATATTTTATAAGAAATAAATAGTTAATAGATTTAGAAACTTGTCGGTCATTAATTAATTGTCAGATTAAAGAATATATTATACATGAGTCATATAATCTAATTAGTATACTTTATATTCCTTAATTAAAGTTATCAATCAATTTGATCGAACTAGATATTACCATTATTTCCTAAAATCACTCTGTGTAAAATTCGTTTTAACGATTTGCAACTCTTATTAGTACGGTGTGACAATCCGTCGTTGTTGCAAACCAGTACAACACCATAACACTTTCTCATTGGGTAAGTGCAATGTGCAGTAAAAAAAATCATCGTAAACAGAGCAGCAGTACCAAAGTGTGTGCCAATCCTAATAAATCTGATACACTCGGTTGGGATTGTTAATGCAAATTTTATTTTTTATTTATTGTATATTTTTGGGTTTAATTATTCATTGTTTTATTCTTATAATGTAGACAGAAGGTCATGACCTTTGTAAATTGTTAAGACAGTGAAACACACAGTCATGTAATGTGATCTCCGCAAGGCCTAGTATTTTATATTCTTCTGATATATTTTCGATAAAAATATATTTTTAATACGTTTTGGTACTGTATCTACACATGTCCTGTGTCCTGAACTTGGAAGATCCGTTTTACCTTTCTATTTTCTTTTGAAACACTTTAGGTTCTTTCATTTTAAGTTTTTGGATTCCCAATGCCAAATATACAGATAGACATAATGTAAAAGGGACCATTATGTCAATGTTCCTACTATCTATCCTACTATCTTAGATTTAAGTATAGACATCCAGTTGAATAATTTTTATGGAAGAAATTATCAAGTAAAAGGAAAACCGCAAGTTTTGAAACTCAGGATGATTGAAAACGTGGGGGAAAAATGTAAAAAAGTAGGGGGTAAGAAAATTTTGTCTTCGGCTTTAGTAATATGTGTTTGTTTAGATGATCTTGTCAAAAAAAACCCGGTGTAGATGTAGTTAAAGTATTATAAATGAATAGTTAATTTATTTCCTACAAAAGATTTGCAAATAACGTGAAAATAAATATATTATTTAAATATACATATTTATAAGACATATTACTTTGTACTAAATTAATATCCGTAATTTTTAATTTTTATTTTCTATTTTTTTATTTTTTATTGTTTTATTTTTATATTTTTTTCAGGTATATTTTTAATATATTTTTGTTTATTTCTTACCTTCTTACTATCATTTCGCAACAACGACCAAACGAGTCGTACTCCGTCCATATCCTCTATGACACCCATCGATTCTTCATGGTATGCGCTTTCTCTCAGTACTAAAGGTACGTTCTCCAATATAGGCGTATACGTGTAATTCAATAAATTGACCAAATACGGGATTCCCCCAGCCCTTAATAACGCCTCTCTATTGTGTTCGAATTTAACGAATTCGCTCAGCGCCCCCACTACGTTGCTCAGTACGTCTTCGTCTTCGTCAATGTTTTCTAACATTCTTACCAGACACTGGAAAACAATCATTTTATTAAAAAAAAGAAACAAAAATTTGGACGGTTGTGATAAATGTGTGCATTTAGTTTACATATAAGTATCTAATTTTTTAAATCTAATTTATCAAAATGATTTCGACGATTCATTAAATATTACGTTATAATACGAGTATATTTTACTTATTTCTTAAAACAAAAATGTAGGTAATTAATGGCTTACGAAAAGAAGAAGAAAAAAAAAACTTTTGATTCTGACACCGAAGTGTCACCATTAAAATGGCAGTCTCAGAATCGGAGGATCACAACAGTTTATTTAAACTAATACTATCAAAACATTCAGAACCGACATTAAAAAATATTAATGTTAAACATCAAATAAAATTAATGAATAGACGAAGTGGGCATTTATTTAAAATATTCACAATTTATGATGAGGTCTGATGATCAGACCTATGAAATTCTACTCATTTTAAGTAAAACACCAAAATTAGTAAAAAAAGTGATGACTAGAGCCAGCTTCTTCTATAAAAAACACCGAAACAAAAACCCTAGGCTGAATAGCCAAGGCATCTAAGGCCTCAAAAATCGAGAAAAGAAGAGCATTTACTAATTTGACACTTCTCTATTTTTTTTTTAAACTTTTAAACTTGAAACTAACGATATCAAAAGGACAGTCACAATTATTCAAATTTTAATTTAGTTTCTATATTTTTAGAATATGCTTTACCTATGCAATCTCATCATAATATCACAGTACCATGATCATACCTTGAGGATAATAATTCTTTTTTTATATTAATTTTTTTAAATACAATAATTTTTAAGAAACTCAAACCAGATATTAACTGTTAATAATAAAAAAATCAAACATATTAGCATCATTAAAAATAATAAGTATTAATTATTGCTTTAAAATAGTTATTTGAGTACCAAGTGCATTATACTAAGACTAATGGGTCGATTCTGAAACAATCTATAAGATCTGTAAGTCAAAATCTGTAAAAAATTACATTACTATACCTTACAGATTCTGTAGCTTATAGAATATTTCCCAGAATCCTACCATAACGCCCGAATGATAATATGTTATGTTATGTTGAGAATGGGGTGTTAATACACTGCGACCTAAAAGATCTATTGTGTCCCCTTCTGTCGCCAATGCACTACGGACATGTCTCAATGCCTATAACGACTCTTCCAATCCTATTTTCTCAAGGAAGTGTAGGATTTGAAGTGGCTTCAAGTTAGGTAAATCTCCCTCTTCTATTTGATATCCTCCTAGATATAGTGCCCTTGGATTCTGGAGTGCTACACATTCAGTTAGGATGTGAATGGAGGTTTCGTCTTCCTCCTCCTCACAGAATCTGCACTCACTATCCTATACTACTCTCAGTTTACTTAGGTGTCCTTTTAGTCGGCAATGCCCGGTAAGGATCCCTGTTACAATACGTAGCCTGTTCTTGCTCAGGCAGATGCAGGCTTCCGATCTTTTCTGGTTATATTCACCCAGAAGTATCTTGACCTGTCTCAGCCCCAAGAGATTGTTCCAATTATCGGTTCTTCTACTACCCAATTCTTTTTTAATATCTCCTAATATTATGTTACTGCTGATACCGCAGAACGGCTCAGGTCCTACAAAGGGTGTTTAAGCCCTTTTCCTTGCAAGACTATCTGCAATCTCGTTACCCTGTACCCCGTTATGTCCCGGGACCCAAGTGAGAGTAACTCTATTTTTCTCGCCAAGCTCATTCAATTGTTCTAGACATCTCCAGACCATCTTTGAGCTGATTACGTAGAGCTCGGCGCTTTGATGGACATGATGATAATCTCTTGTCTATGATAGTTTCTCTCGATGTTAAACTGGATACAATTCTCGATGGCATGAATTTTCCCAAGCTTTCGGAGTGCTTGGTTCTCAGCCCATATACTCCTATTCCAGTTCCTTCTATGGTTTTGGAACCGTCCGTATACCACTGAATAGCACGTCTTTCCGTTGCAAGCGCGATGGATTCTTGGCTCCATTCTTTCTTGCAGCCCAGATGTGTTTTTGAAGTTTTTCACAAAACTGTACTTCTTTAGCATTTCATCCTGGGGCATGTCTCAGGTATCTTTAGTCCTGAAGCAAGTAGACTTTCATCTGATTATTCCGTTCCTGATCATTCCATATCGTGTCCTTTTTGCCACATTCTCTATCATCAAATGTAGAGGGGTGAGGTTTAAGATCATCTCCATTGCGGCCGTAGGACAGGTTCTCATTGCACCAGTAATGCAAACACAGGCTAGTCTTTCTACTTTTGAGATATTAGCTCTCGTAGTAGCAAAACTAGTTCTATTACTCCAGGCTATAGCCCCGTAAGTGATTATTGGTCTCACTATTGCAGTATACATCCATTGCAGTATGTTTGGGTTACATCCCCATCGTTTACCGGTAATATGAAAACAACCACAGTGCCCTTACTCCGAGGGATGGACGTCTCTCAATGGTTTTATAATTTAATAAGTTTTGTGGTTCATATAAGATTTATTATATCACTAAAAATACATTTCTTTGTATTGTTAATGCTCTAAAAGTCAATAGGATACTTTCAACATACTTTCAAAATACTTTCAACATACTTTCAACATACTTTCAACATACATACTATTAACAAGCTATCAACATACTATCAAAATACTTTCAACATTCTTTCAACATATTTTCTCTTGCTGGTCCAATAATGGTCACTGACAAAAACAGTCACTTCATCTCTATTTCTAATAGAAAATTTCGTGTTTAAAACTTTGTTTTCTCCTTTCCTCTAATTAAAATTGGCTACACTTATGTCAAACCCATTTATAGTAAGATCAAAAGGGCTTAGTGTGCAGATATGGACTACGAATTGTGGCAATTTTCCTTACTGCATGTACACTTACAGCAATGTCCAATTGAGATATTGTCTTGCCACCAGAGTATAGAGAATAATCAAGATTGTGACTACATTGCTCCGCCATTTTCTTAGGATCAACTGACGAGTTGGCAAGCAATGTGCTGTGGTTGTCAATTCTTCTTATGCTGGTCTTTTGCTAGTGTCGTATCTAGGCATTTGTCAGCCAAGGTATTGTCAAGTAATTTTCTGTCTAGTGATGATTTCCACAGATTGTACGGCTGCTTCATAGCCGTTAATAAGAAATTACAAATAATAATTATATATCACATCATTAATTTGAACTTTATTACGGTCTCAATTTCAGATGGAAGACCAAAGATATTGTAGTTTTAAAAGTGTGTTATAAATTTTAATAAAATGTTTATGTACAGATTTATAAAAATTATTTAAAAGAGGATCTAACGTTACATCAAAAACTTCGAATGATCGTAGCAAAATGGAGTCTTCTATACTGTGGTACCACTTTATAATCTTGATAAACAACTGTCTTATAAATTTAGCCCGTGTCATTACCAGAAAAGGTATTCAACATTCAAAATTACTGTTTTTAAAGTCGTATTAAAATAATTACACGCATTTATACATGCAAGAATCTATTTATTACTCAACTTAAGTCTATAATTACTTGGAAGATAATCATTGTTATTAAAGTTAATTTGAATGATTCCTAAAATTTGCTGCGTTATTTTGTATGCCAAGGTCAGTACGATGACACCTACCATTTTTTTGAAATTTGGATATTTACCTCTACAGTTTTAAGTACGTCAAATCTCTGGACATTTTCTTTGGTCTTCGCAAGCATCCAAATTGCTCCCGTAACAGCGGTCATCAAAGGTTTATCTTCTCTTGATTTAGTATCCCGAATCATTTTTACCAAAGGATCTAGACCACCCGATTGCCTAACCATCTCTCTGATCAGTGAGTTATGACCACATTTAAAAATAGTTACTGCGCAGTACCTTCTCAATTGTGGTTCGTCCTTAAAAAATAATAGAAGATAGATCTTCGAGATGTAGTTCTGGCGTAAAAGAAGAAAATTTAATCTCCAAAACTGAGGTTACCGAGTGAGTCATTTATTATTATATTTTTGAGGTGCCAAATTAGTGAACCTAATTATTTTGTGTTTATATAACAACGGGACTTATTTTTCTTTATATAATTAATCGGTGTAATGGAGGTATTGTCTTTTAATTGCATTGTTTAGCTATTTAACATTGAAATCTGCATAAATATACAATGGCTTGGTGCCTATATTAAAAGCAAACGTCCACTAGAGTGAATCCGAAGACAGAACGGTTAAATTTGACAGCCCATACACCGTAATTTCGGTTTTGAAGGTTACATTCTGGCGCCCAACGTGGGGCTTCAGCGCTAGTTTCAACTTACCTCTTGAAATAGATGCCTGACAATGTCTTTTACCATTCCTTCAGTTTGGATTGCTAATTGGTAGTGAGGATTATGTGCGCATTGTGATATGGTGCCTACAGAGGGCACTACTACGTCCATATGATCACATCTGTATCAAATAGTAATAAACCTTAGTTTGTAGATAAAAAATTGTGTTAATTAGAGCATAAGTGTTAAATTTAGCGCCTTTCTCATAGTAAAGATTAAAAGGACATTAAATCTGAATCTTGGCAATGCAGTATACTGTATGTAGTATTACTGCACTAAAACAGTCATGGGCGTCGCCACACGAGAGCAAGGAATAAGTATATTTAATTGTCAAAATCTTGACAGTAAAAAAATTCAGCTGACAATATTTAGTTTTAAAATTATTGGAATTTAATCTAAAAAAAGTTTCAGTTACTACCATGCAGTAGAATTGATGAAGAATGTTTAGATTTAAGAAACATTGCTTAATTAACATTTATTTATCCTATAACATAAATGGATTCAATTTTACCAATAGGAATTTTAAACGAGGTCATCGGCTTCTACTATATTGAGAAATTTTGCCAGTTATTTTTTTTTATATTTTAAGTTACATTTGTATTGTAAAAATACATACTTTGAATAAAACAGGTCTATAGAAGCATGAATAAGTAAGAATATTTAATTTTAATTATTAATTATATATTTTGGCTACATATATTAGTCAGTAACTTCCAAAAATAATTAAGAAGTACTTTCTGGTGTCCGTTTTAAAGAATTCGGGATTTTGAACTTTAATGTCCTGTTTGTGGAATCTATAAATCAGGGACAGTGAATACATGGGTGCAAGGGGCCAGTTGAAACCAAAAAATGTTATTATGAACAGCATGGCCCCAGTTATAAAATTAAAAAACGTAAATTAATTTAAATATTCGTTTTTTTCACCATATAAAGCTTACAAGGATGCAACAACGCTGTCTGTCTATCACCGCCTTCCAGAAATTTTTTGGCTCAATGCTTGATAAGAAAAAGTTTGTATCATAAACAAAACAAACACATCAAATTTTTATGTCTACAAAACATACGCTTGATAAAAGTTTAAATTAACTTATAAAACATCCAAATTATTAACAAATTTTAATCACTAAAATTATAAACCAATTTTAGAAACCATTTATCATATGATGAGTCATCCATAGTACAACATGGCTACCACATCCGTCAGATCGATTAGATTAACGGGAACATAGCATTCTCCTTCCTGACTATATATGTTCTAAGATTGTATGGCTAGATCAAGAAGAACAAACAAATACAAATTGGTTGGGTGAAATTAGTTTAAATTATTAATATTTTTTAAATTTTTTTGGATATATGTGTATCTCCTTTTTTAACAGATTTTTTTATGACTCTAGTAATGCTCAGTCTAACCTACCTTATAAGTCTTGCCAGTAAAGTAATAACACCACATTTCAGCATTTCGTGTATATTTTTCGCACTCCTAGAAACGGACCAAAGAGCTCTGGCCGCGGCTCTCGCCACGTGCACTTGATCCATGTCATATTCGCTCAATTCATCTCTAGACATTTTCAGTAAAGATTCTTTCACGTCAAGAAAATCGACCAATTTCGGTATCCCGTTGCACTTTCTGAGATGTTTTCTCGCTTTCCTGATCTGAGCTACGTTGTAAATGGTTTCCGCTACTAAAACTTGAAGATCTCGTGCCGGTTCAGCTAGATTTTGGACTAGAAGTTCTACTCCGCCGAGGTCTGTAACGCATTTTCGGACATCTATGTTTGTTGACAGTTCGGAAAGTACCCCACACGCAGCTAGTTTGCATTTTAGATCTTTGGTTTCTAATAGGTTAACCAGAATTTCCAGACCGCCTATTTCCTAAAATTGGCAAAGGTGCAAAATCATGTTTGTACAGATTCAAATACTTTATGGTCAAGTTGAAAAGTGTATTTGGTATAAATAGATATATAATAATAAATCAATAATAATAAATCATTTATTAACTACAGATTTTTATTTTTACATAATTATATCTACAACTAAATGTTTATTACCTTAACTATTGATAGAACAAGTATGAATAGAAAGAGTGGATCGAAAATAAAACACAAAAATAAAATAAACAACCCGTTTTAAAATTCAAAGACTAAAATGCTGTTTTTGGTTTTAACTGCATGACACAAGAATGTCAATAGTCCCTGTATATTTTTCGACCAATCTAATGTTTTTCAAAATAATCAACAATTTTTTTATTTGTTACTCTTGGTATCTGTTAAAATTTTTGGAATATATTAATGTACGCAAATGAAATAATGTTCGCCGAAAACAAGTAATAAAATATATTCATGGAATTAAATTAAAATGGTCAAGGTTATAGGCAAATAAACTAATAAGATGTTTAAATAAAGATTTCACACAATATACCTGTTGACCGCCATTGTGTAACAAGTAGGTAATAATTTTAAGATTGTTGATACGGGTTTTTATGCAGTTGTTCCAGAATTGGGTAACACTACTCATTATAACAGATTATTCCAATAATAAGAAGGCTGTTGGATCTCTGTTAAAATATAAATATGCCGAAAAAGTATTTCTTATCATAAATCTGCTTAAATTATATAAAAAAGGTATAGAAAATTAAAAAAAAATGCATGTTCTGAATTAGGCGAAGAACCAATGAACTACGATTGTGGTTATAGCTAGGTATAGTCCGATTACAATAAGAAGAACACCGCTACGTCATAACTATTATCAATAAATAAAGAACATGTGAGGTGGTTAGTGTAAAAATGTTATTGCGACATTTTTATAATATCAAATGAGGAATTTGAAATTCTGCTGGATGGAATTGAATCGCTGTGTCAATTGTACGATAGTAAATTATTGATTGCTGGTGACTAACATTACTGAATGTGCAACATATAAATTTCAGTCCCAGGTAAATTTAACTAGAAAAATAATTTTCAAAGTTCTTTCGGTTTATTGCAATTCAATGAAGTACGAAATTATTTTAATCGAATACTAGATCTTGTTTTCTCTAATATAAAAGATTGTAAAGTAGAAAAAGCAGCAGACGCACTTGTACCAATTGATCCTTATCATCCAGCACTGATTATTGAGCTACTCTTTTGGCGGCACAAAAAGCTTTGACCGGCTTCTCCGAATTGATTCAATTTTAAAAAAGCAGATTTTCGAAATCTTTATAATATATTATTAGAAACAGACTGGTCTTTTCTAAGCATTATACGATAAGTTAAACTCTATATTTGCCCAACATGTTCCAAAAAAGACTCCAACTAACCAACATTGTCCTATGTGGTTTAATTCTAAAATCATAAATAGTATTAAACTAAAAAGTAAAGCTTGGGAAAAATTTAAGATTACCAAATATAATTCAGATTATATTATTTACAGCCAACTGAGAATTGAAATTAAAATTAAAACTATACTTTAATTATGTGAAATGTTCTGAAGAAAATATTAAGGCTGATCCTAAAACCTTTTGGTCATTTATAAATTTCAGAAAGGGTGATCTGTCAACGATACCCAACACTATGAATTTCGAAAACAAGCGTTTAAATCAACCTAAAGATATAGTGGATTCGTTTACAATATTTTTTTCAGGAAATTATATACACCAATTGATAATACTGTGAAAGATTCTTTAGAATACCAAAATTATAATAATATAGTTAACATTACCCAAGTCGATCGGATAATGTTCCGGCATTTCTGGTGAGAGACTGTGCACAGGCATCTTGCAAACCTCTATTATTTTCAACCTTATTTTTAAAACTCAACAATTTCCTGAGATGTGGAAGTTAGCTAGAGTTAGTCCAATCTTTAAAAATGGCAGCAAAAATGATATATCCAACTATCGCCCTGTCACAATTCTGAACAATTTCTCTAAAGTTTTTGAAATACTTGTGTATACTTTCATTTCAGTTTCGCCAAATCATTAGTCCAACCCAACATGGTTTTATTGCTGGTCGCACTACTGTAACTAATCTAATTGTAACTCATTGTATTTTTGAAGTTTTGGATAGAAGAAGTCAGGTTGTTGTTATTTACACTGACTTCTCTAAATCATTCGATAGAATTGATCACAAACTTCTAATAAGTAAACTTTCAGCACTTGGATTTCATGGCTCCTTATTAAATGTTATATTTTGAGTAATTATGCCAAATTCATTAAGCAAACACTGTCTTACAAATATAACCTTTAAGAGAACGTGGTCTAATGGACAAGTCCTATTACAGAAAGGGGTTGTGTGTTCAAGTCTCGATACTCTAGATACAATCTTTTTTGTCTTTTTTAAATTCTTTATTTATTATATAACAAGATTTTTATGCAAATATTTTAAATCTTTGATTACTTATTACTATTTGAAAAATCTTGATTTTTATCTCATTTGACTGAATCCTGAGTCGAGTAAAAAAGTTAATTTGCTGTTCTTTTTCACATAAACTTATATGAAAGATTTATTAGCAAGATGTCATAAGTTGCATATATAATTTGATAGATTTTCTTAAATATGCAAAAATACTCTTGCTCGTACCGTCTTCAGTTTTTGAACCGACTGTGGTCGGTCTAGGAGAGGGTAATATCCTCCTTGCTCCATTCGTCTCTCTATTTAGTAGAGGAGTAGTAGGGTATGGGCTCCTCTGGTCCTACGTCACTCCTTCGACAACTTTTTCTAATTTTAGAGTCTCCAGACTCTTTTCAACGTCTCGCCTGATTTAACGTCACTTCTTTGGTTTTTCTTTTTTGTTTTTGAGTTTGCAGATGCTCCTTTAACGTTTTCCCAACAGTCAAATACGAAACTTATTTTAGTGATTCTCACCACTGATAAGTGACGCAATCTCGTGCTGGATTTTTAAGCAGCGCGTTTATACCCACTAACCTTATTGATTTTACATTTTGTAGATTCAAATAATAGTTAAAAAACAATTCAGAACTTATTAAAACCATGACAATCTAATTGTTTAATTTTTAAGTAACAGAATAGAAATTTTTAATATTACCTGCACAGCAAGTACGCTTATTTCAGACGTTAAATCGTAATCTCTCAAGCAACACAAGCACACCACAGTAGCAGATTGATTGCCGGTTTTTATATATTTCATCAACTTCTGTATGTGCCAATATTCTGCGGGAATTTCTTGTCTTGGTTTGTACGGTTCGATTTCATCAACTGAACTCCTACAAAATGATCGACCAAACTGTATATTTAGGGATACAAGTACATATATCTAAAATTTCCTTTATTAAAACATAAATAATGACTATAATAGTTATATTATTATTATAAATAAAATATAAAACAATTCTACACTATAATTAAATGTCTACTATTGTAAAATATAATGTACTTATTTATGTAATAGTATTTTATTACCAAGCTCACCCTGACACTGACGAATCTGCGCTATCCTCATGTTCTTTTACGACAACTTCTCTTAAAACAACTTTGGGGACGTCTACGACATTTTTTTTATCTCCCATTTTTATGTTTCTTTAAAATGGCAGCACAATTCATTGACACGTTATTTTGACAATCCATGGCAACCTATAAATGTATTTTAGTGACGATCTCCGAGCAATTACTACTAGAGAGAGTCTTCCCCCCTTTTTCGCGTTAAATTTTGTAATCAACATCTGAGGGGGGAAATCCCTCTTCTGTAATTGGCTTATTTATTCAGCGTTGCCAAGTTTGACAGCGCCAGTTGTGATACTTTCTGGCACATGTCAATTTTTGATTTATATTTTACAAAAAAATTAATTATTTATAGTGTAATGTATATTTAAGATTACTAACTGCCCTACGGAACTACCTGGACACATTAATCCCAAGTACTTATTGCCCCATCCCCACCTGCAAGAAAGTTGGGATTTGGGAAAACCACATTTCATTATGGTTGCAAGAGAGGGATAAATTCCAAACCAAATAAATATTTTTAAATATTTCTTATTGGTCGGTATTTAGGAAAACCAAATTTGATTATAGTTGGAAGAGTAGGGATAAATTTAAAAGAAGATGAAAAGTCTGTCCGTTATCATCTCTAATAATATGGTGAAAACATGCTTTATGTGTAAAAGACCTGTTGAAAATGCTTCTTTAAGATTGTATCATAAGTAAGTACACACACAACCTAATTATCAGAGGCGGTGCATTAGGCAATCACCTTTAATTTGCAATTGAACTTTCTTATTTTCTTATCGAAAAAGTAAAATTAAGAGGGAATAAACCCCAACTAAGTTCGTCTTCATCCATCTCATAATGATTATAGTAAAGATTAATTAATTATTTTGGTACAGAATTTGGAAAAACAAGAGGATGAAAGGTTCCTAGTAAAAAATGCAGATGTAAAGAGAGAAATGTTACAATCTTACCATGATGATCCTGATTCTGGAGGTCATGATGGTTATTACAAAACATATTATAAGATAAGTAATTGGTTCGTTTGGAAAGGATTAAGTAAAGACATTAAATATTATATAAAAACTTGTGAATTATGCCAAATCGTAAAATTTATATATTATCCCAAACCAAATTATAAACACGGCTTCATGTTCTCAAAACCCCTATGAAAAGGTTCACATTAATTTTGCAGAGATAGAAAATAAATCAGATTTAAACAGAACTACAAAATCATTTTTTTTTTTTTTTTTTTTTTTTTTCAAAAATGAGTCGCATCCACCAAAAGGTGACGGAAAATCATTTATTGTTTTTACAGATAAAGCCACTAGACGTGCCAAATCAATAAAGGAAAGTGGTGAGGCTTTGAAAAACTATTTTAGTAAGCTTTCTTTTTCAAGCCATATAAAAACAATTGTCACAGACTGTGCATCTGCGTTGACATCTGGATCATTTAAAGAATGGGCTACCTCGAAGAGGATAGAACTTATTCACCCTTCCCTTTACCGTCCGGAGGAAATGGATTAGCTGAACGAACTGTTAAAGAAATAAAAACGTACATACAATGTTATAAAGATTTTCCTCCACCCCCAAAATGGTCTCAGATATACATTGAACGAATGTATAAAAATAGACAAAAACTTTAGAAACATGCAAATGCATATCTGTAGGTTTTTTCAAGTTTTCTTAAATGATTATGGTAGAACTTCGACCACTGGGAGAATACTAGTTAATAACTTGAAAAATATTCAGAAGGACTAAATAAAATAAAATTTCAATAATTGTTCAAAATGTTGCGGACCACCTCTGATATCTGGTATAAAATACAAGTTTCAAGTTTTTTCATTCTTTTTTTTTCCTTCTTATGGCTTATCTACTAGATTTGAACTTTTTTTTTTTGTAAATTACGACAATAGTTTTAATTAAAACCCACTATTATAAATATTCCAAATTGACTATCATTTCACTGATCTGCTTTTAAATGTTTTCTGCATCAAAATAAATGTAGGTACCTATCTTACGTATAAGACCTTAATCATTAAGTAATGCTCATACTAATTTAGTGAAAGTTTTCAAAGAAGTATTGTAAATAAGTACCATATCTTAGGTTACATCAAAGCGGAAAAATGATACTTGCTACAAGAAATGCATTAGGTACTGCAGGCCATCTAAATCCCATGAGAAGACCTACTTTCACAGTCTCATTCTGGTGTTACAGAACGAAATATGCAATTATGGTGTTTATTTGCTGAATAAGAGAGAGTCTGCATTATTAGAATATGATCAATTAAATATTTGCAATTTTATTAATGCGATTAAGAATAATTTTGTAATTTGTAAGTAGTTTTAGTTACATAATGATTAATAATTTAGATGCCATAAAAAAATGCAGGTCGAAAATTGCATTTTATTTCTCAAATGGACCGGCTTAAAAAACTATTTGGCAAGAATATTTTAGTAATAAATTTCATGGTCATAAGCAGTCGACATATTTATAAGTATTTAAATGATTAATTAAAAGTATCTAATAAATAAAAGAAATGTAATTAATAATTATAATACTAGTTTATTTACAACAACAATTTTAAACATTTCAACAAGAAAAAAATACGATGTTCAAATTTAATTAAATGAAAAACCTGTTTCAAGATCTAAAGTACCTACTAAACATCAGACTCTAGTGTAAAAAATGTAGGTTTAGACAAAAATGTATCCCAGCAACAAGCTGTAAAAACTTACTCTGTATATGTAGAATAGTTTCAAGTAAAATTACCTTGAATTTATTAAGTCTAGAAAATAGGTAGGTCAATAAGACATCCTATCAGTGGCGGCTCGTGATAATACGAGATGGTAGTGCTAGATTTTTAACAAATGTGAAAACCCTGCCGGAGGCGCCCTGTCGGAGGCCCCTCACCTGAGGCGAAAAATTTATTGGGGTGCCACGCCCAAATTTTTACCCAAAAGTCGTTTAAGAAACTGGCTTTGGGCAAAAATTTATCACGGTATTGTATTTGTAGCACAGTACTCTAATAATAATAGTATGTAAAAATGTATCCTATTTTACTTCTATAAATCTATAAATCACTTTTTAGAGCACCTAAAATCTTTAAAATCGTTTTCCTGAAAACTAACTTTTTCACATATCGCCTTCTTTGCCTGTACCCTTCAACTATTCTGTATACAATGAATAACATCATAATTTTAAAAAAGTTACAAGTAGAACTTTCCTATCAAACATAACATTCTTGTGGGTCATTTAAAAATGTTATGTTATTTACTCGGCCCTAGGACTTAAACCTAAAATTGACAAATGAAAAAATAAAACTATACCTCTATAAGAGTTTATTAGCTTTTTGTATTTCATTATTATTTACTGAAAAATTTCCATAATTTTACAACGATAAAAATCTAATAACAAACCGTATGCAATCACAGTAGATAATGTGATAAATACCAACCATTTTTTTTGTTGAAGCAATTATCATAAAAGAGAGAATGCATGTTTGCAAATGCCCTTCATGTTTATTATATCAATTTTGTGACAGTGTTACTGTTTAAAACAATAACCATTATATAAGCATCTATCATGATTTTCTCAATAAATAGCTATAGATTTTTTACAAAAAAAATTATTATATTAATTGGATTTATATATTTGTCTTTGTTTTTTTTTTTTAATATTAGGAAAAAAATCTGTACATGGTTCTGTCTAGAGTGAGAGCCCTGATATTTGACTAAATACTTATTTTTTTACCCATATATTTCTGATAACCGTTTACTGCAAATTAAGAAAATCTGTCTTACTAAAATTTCTGTACGTTTACAAAAAACAACTATATAACAACACTATAACAACTATACAAGGATTTTTCTTAATTTAACCTCAAAAATACCTGTTAAAATTATGCAGATGTTATTATTTTTAACATCTTGTAAATATGAACCATTTATCACCATATCTGCATTAAAATATGTTAAAATACTCGATAGACATTTCTTACTAAAGTTACGTTAAGAAATATTTTATTAAACTCAGATTGTATGATGCGTCATTTATAAAAGTATTTAAAATGTCGTTCAGACCACCAGATCAAATATTTGGTCCATCTACATTAGCCTGGTGTAACTTTACGTTGTTCCAAAAACATAACCGTACCAAATTTTAGGTCAATATGTTAAATAACAAGCAAAATATTGCAAAAAAACAAATTCAATTTCAGCCTTAACACCCTGTACCTTAGTGATGGATAACATTTTAATCCATTACGAAGTATTAATATTTTGTGATCATGGACCTCTATGATTAACATATTGGCCATTCCTTATGAATCACCCTGTTTGTTGAGTATGATTCGTATTCTCCAGACAGAGATACTTCAGTATGTTTGCGGTATAATTTATATTCTACAAATATCTTTATATATTTCTTAAAACTTTTATTTAAAAATGTACCAAAAAAAAATAAAAATAAATATTTAACAGTTCCTCCTTTAAGCTTAATTTTTTATGACTATAATTACAATATCTAACTATTAATTTATTTATTTATGATAGGAAACCAATAATTACATGTTTCTACTCATTAATTTATTTATTTATGAGCATTAATAAAAATAACATGTAGAAAATTGTAGGTATATATTTCTATTTGTTTTTCTTTTTTTGCAGTTTCGAAGAAGCGTCCACGACATCTTACAACCCCAACATGACGATCATTATTTACTTCGATGGTTGAGAGGTAAGTATGGCTTTAAAAAAAACAAGTTACACATGTATTGTTTATATTTTAGCTAGAAACTGGAACCCTGAAGCAGCAGAAAAAATGTTAAGAGAAGTAAGTAACTAGCTACTATTTTTATATCCTCTTGCGAAGTAAAATCGTTTAAGAGCTGATGTAAATAAGTTAAGTGCCATCTTAAAAAATAATAAGAGGTTTGGTGACAGAGTTGTCTAAACAGCAAATGGTAAAAATCGAGTAAATTGAGATCAAAATTAAAGAATTTAAAAATAGTCAACAAAAAGTATTTATACAGTTTTGTTGTGATGTAAATAATTTTAAGAAATAGGCAACTTTAGCTCGCTTAGGGTGAGTCCTTTCACCTTCAAAGTGTCAGATAATTGTTATCTCTCAGATAACTTAAAAATGCATCTTTTTTACTTTTAGATAAAACTATCTAACCTCTGAACTTCCTGATAAAATAGTTCATGGACGCTGTTGAAGATGTTGTGTTTTTAATAGTGGTTTACTTATTTGTTTCATTTATTGTATACAGGGTGTCCTGAAATTAGACGGTAATATGTAACAGCGTAATCTACATCCTAAAATAGGAGTAAAAGTTTATATAAACATAGGTCCGAAGACAAGACGTTTCTTTTTTAATAGGTTTTTCACTGATTTGTCAATTATTTTGGTTTATTTGGCCTGCGGCTCGTGCTGCAAACTTCATCTGCGTGAGTTATGACCTGCATTACCGCTCGTTAAATAATATACTATTATTTTATGTACAGTATTTTGAGCTAAATTACTTTTGTTCATAAGTGTAAGTTTCTAATGGTATGAAAATAAGTATTTCAGGATGCCCTTTCAATTTAGTAATGAAGAATATGCAGATATTATTTTTGTGTTCGGTTTTTGTAAAGGAAACAGTAAAGCAGCAGTAAGAGAGTATCGCAGACGTTTTCCTAATCGCCGTTTACCAAATGCTAAAACATTTTTACAGGTTTTCGAATTCAGTAAGCAACAAGGAAAGTTTCACACTACAGTTAAACATGAACATGCTCCGAGAAATAATCTTCGACAAGAAGATGAGATACTACAGATAGCTAGAAATAATCCTTCTATCAGTGTAAGAAGAATTAGTAATGCATTAGCAGTACCGATAACAAAACATAAAAAAAGAAAATTTGCATCCATTTTATGTACAAAAAGTACAGCGACTTGAACACGTAGACGACGTATCCCGCTTATCTTTTTGTAGATGGACTTTGGCCCACAGAAGGACAATATCGAGAATTTTATTTACTGATGAATCCCAATTTACACGTGATGGGATCAATAACACTAGAAATGGTCATATTTGGGCAATTGAAAATCCTCACACTGTATCACAAAACATTCCCAATATAGATTTTCTATAAATGTATGGTGTGGTATTTATAAAAATCATTAAATAGGCCCTCATGGTTTTGAAGGCAGATTAACAGCTGAAGTTTATTTAAATTTCCATAGAGACATCCTGCCAAATTTGTTAGAAGGGGTTAATACCAGAGGAATGTGGTTTCAACACGATGGTGCTAGACCCAATTTTAAAATACTGGTCAAAGACCATTTAAATCATTATTTCCCAAATAGATGGTTAGGTCGAGGCGATATCGTCAATTGGCCACCAAGATCTCCAGATCTAACACCAATGGATTATTTTTTAAGGGGTCAGCTTAAATCAGAGATGTACAACGAAGAAATATACCGGAAATAATTGACAAATCAGTGAAAAACCTGTTAAAATTTATTGCCGTTCATGGTATTCATTTAGAAAATCTACTTTAGTTTTAATTAGTTATTTGTTTTTGTTAGTTTGTTCTGTTAGTTTGTTCTGTTATTTAATCAAATAAAGTGAGCCCGGTCCTGTGTAGATGTATAATTTCTTATTGGACAATGCAGTAGTTATAAATACATGAAGATGGTACCTAATTTGTGTAGAGTTTTAAAAATACAGAGTAAAATAAATAAAATTAAGATGGTGCCATTAAATATTATTATATTACTTTATTGATCCACGTACTATTTAAATGTGCAGTAACCTTTATTAAAATCCGATATACAGGGTGATATTCTAGCTAAGAAGGGCAATATAAAAAAGGAGAGCCCGGTCCTGCAATTTTTTTAAAATAATAATAATACTCTCCCTAATTGACCCCCTTACGAGTGAATTTTAACCCCAAAAGCTGAGCTTGTCCAGAGAAAGGGACGGCTATTATTATTATTTGTCGTGGCGCTCTGGGGCGACTTAAAGATGATTGATGGTCCCATTTGACTTACAGGTTAGGAAAACCTCACCCACCATCATGTAAAATTAAATTATGGCTTTAATAAACCTAAGAGAGTGCAACTTTTGTACAAAATAGATCTAGCCGTTCAAAGAAAATGGCAAAAAATCATAAAACACCCTATAAGTATGCGAGTGTTTTGAACTCAGCTAAGTGTATTATACCTCCCATTAAGCTGTGTCCGTTTAAATCTGAAACACCCTGTATATCAAATGAACAATCTATGTTAGTTACAATTACAGCCTATTTTTCAATTTTTGTTTTCTTACAATTTCAAATTAACTATTATTTTTAGTCGTATATGTTTCGAAAACAATGGGAAATAGACTCAAATTTGTTGACCTGGGACCCTCCTGAAATTTTGAAGCTATACCATCCCAGCGGTACATCTGGATGTGATAAAGATGGAGCTCCGGGTATGTCCCATTCAGTAATTCGCGTTTAAATTTTCGTATCTTTTGTTTTTTTGCACTCCTTTTCCAGTCAGCCCTTTGACTATAATGTATTTACAGGAAATTTAATATTGTTTCTATTTTTCTCTAGTGCTCATCATACCGTTTCAAGGATTTGATCCCATAGGATTTTTGAATTCAACACCCAAGTTAGATCTAATCAAAATGGCCGGTAAAATATTAGAAACGAATTTAAAAATGGCAGCGGAAACTGGAGAAAATCAATTGGTTGTGATTTTCGATATGGAAGGTTTTGATATTAAACAATATGCTTCTAGGCCAGGTAATTCAATTGTTGGTATCTATTCTATTTTGAATACTAATTGAATTAAAAGGACGTTATTTTGAGCCAATTTAATAATAAAATTTTAATATTTAAAATAAACTTATAAAAAAATAAATATTTATAGTTTAAAATAATAAAGATATATTTAAAAGTAACAAAGCCTACACATTAATAAAAAAAATTAAAATAAAAGTGAAAACAAAAGAGTGCATATTAAGGTATATCATAAGAAAATTTTATATTTTATTTCGATTTTTAACACGTTGGATGCTGTATATGGATACACATCTTGTACATATATTTTTTAATTTGTTTTTGCAGCTGCTGAAATAGCCATATCCTTAATCCAGTTATATGAAGCTAATTATCCAGAAATTCTAAAGCAATGTTTGATAATAAATGGTAACTATTCACAACTATGGGGGTTATGATTGACAACCTGTGTTATTTTTAACAGGTCTGTTATTTTATAAACACACAGAAATAACAACCGGTTCGCAAATAACATGTCTGTTAAAAATAACATTACTTGTCCATCATAACCCCTTATATCGCTTTTGTAACCACTATTTACGTTTTTGTCTTATTTTAGCACCAAGAGTGTTTTCAATAGCTTTTAATGTAGTGAAACGATTCATGCACGGTTATACTTTAAGTAAGATACAAATTTTTAAAAACGAACCTAAAAAATGGAAGCCCGTACTTTTGTCTAATATAAGCCCAGATAATTTACCGGAACATTATGGGGGAACTCTTCGTGATCCAGATGGAAATCCAAGATATACTACCGTAGTAAGTACCAAAATTTAAGATATTAAAAAACTATATTAAAACCATTTAAAAAAATTAAGATTGTGGTGGTAGGTACGCTAAATGATGATGTCACATAAATGTCTTTTAAAAATCGTAAATCACCCTACAATTTCATAATTATACATTTATTCGTGCCAAACTTTTTCGCTACACTGTATAAAGAAATCATTATAAATCTTTTAAGTGTGTTTAAGGTCCGAAATTATTTTTTTCATGATTAATATTTAAATCTTATCTTTCTTTTTTGTAGATCAAGCCCGGAGGCAAAATTCCAAAATCGTTTTACAAAAGGAACATTGAAACAACAGACTTTTCAAAGGAATATATCAGAACTGTACTAAAAAAAGGCAACAAATTGATATTAGACTTTTTAGTTGTCGAAGAAGGATGTTATTTGAGGTATTTGAATTTTTATTAGTTACTCTGTTAACGTCATAGCAGATTCTATAAACAAAAATACCATTAAATGTTTAATAGAAATAATTAGAATTACAAACAAGGTGAGATATAATTGCAAATTAATTTAAAAGTTATTGCTCCTCTGTCGAGGTGAATGGGTATACTAAGTAATTAAATCTAATTATATTATTTTTCTTTGGAACCCGAAATTCCCAAATTATATTTACGCTTGTTTGTGCATTCATACAGGGTTACACATGATTACCTGTATTAAGGGAGATATGTCTGAGATGGCATATTTTTTTTAGTATGTCGAAAATACTGTTATGTATCATATCATAAAATTTTACTTTCCTTTTCAAGAAAATGTGTCTTTTAATATAAATATATTTAAATTTGAAAAGACTAGTAATGAGGTAATTTCTCGAATATACACGTAAAACAAAAAATGGACATCTAAAAAACAAAATCGACCTGTTTGAGCATATTTTTGTTACTTTTCCAATAAAGCTAGAAATCTGGTGTTCTGCCCTGTGTAGACATTACATTAGTAGTAGATATAATTATTAAAAAAATAAGTGTTAAAAAACAAAAAGTAGGGGCCCCAAAAATTATTAAGCATAGGGCCCCTCAAATTATTGATCCGCCACTGCTCAAATGGCTTTAATTTTCTGATATGTAGGTTTAATTCCTTCTTGAGACACTACATAATAAAAAAAATCGATTGATGTTTGACCAAATTCGCATTTTTGGGGATTTATTCAAATTCCATATTATTCAAGTCTTAAATTTTTTTTGTTTTAGTACTTATTTATATGATTTCTATAAATTAAAATTATAAAGAATCTAATTTAATCGGTACCTAATATTAATAATAGCAGTAATATACATTTTTTTATTTATCGGTTTTTATTAAAATTTCATTGCCACTGACACAGATCCACATCCGACCTTGCCTCTGTTTCATTCTTCATAAAAATAATAAAAATATTGCCACTCGTATTATGCAACCATACATTTATTATTTAATTTTTTTATTAAGGATTTGTGCATTTAAAATACTTTTTTTTGGCCATGATATAATGCACCCATTTTTAAACAAAAAATAAACTGTTATACAGTGTGTCATAAAGTTGGATCAATATGGGATTTTTTTAATATTACATTATTGGAAAAACATTCGTAGGACAATCACCTCATCTAGCATCTGAAAGATTGATTGATCTTTCAGTTCCGTTAAGAACAAAAGCACAGCTAGATGAAGAAGTAGAACTACTTGTGTCTAACATACAACAAGCAGCATGGAATAATACGCCAAGGTCCATGTTAAAAAGAAAAGACAAGAGTTGGATATAAAATTCAAGAAAATGTACTGGTTACTTGGTAGGCATTCCAGCCTATCTACATATAACAAAATTCTTTTATATAAACAAGTTCTCAAACCAATTTGGACCTATGGTATACAGCTCTGGGATTGTGCCAGCTACAGTAATATTCTAATAATCCAGAGATTCCAGAACAAAGTATTGAGGGACATTGTCGATGCTCCTTGGTACATTGGAAAAAGCGACCTTCATCGAGACCTTCAGTTGGATACTGTTGACCAGACTATCACCAATTTCGCTAGGAATCACGATCCAGGTTCTTGACAGCACGAACCTGACAAGAAGACTCAAGAGAGTAAAACCTATTGAGTTAGCCAAGTGATTGTATCAATAACAAAGTAAAGAATTAAGTTATCAGACCCTAAGGTATACCAGCGCGTAGAACTTTAGTTTTTAAGATTGCAACCCTAGTTAAGTTAGGTTATAACAAAATTACTCATTGATCAACTTTTGATCAAATTGTAATATTAATAAACGCCCCTTATGAAGTGTTTTTTTACAAAAAAAATCTAGCATCTGCTTATTTAAAAACTTAAAATAGCCATATCAAAGTTGGCTACTGACATAAGTTATCTATCAAATTCGCACTTTTTGGAAAATTGTTCAAAAATAGCATTTTTTTGAAATATGAAAAGTTATTATTACCCAAACAGCACACAGTTCAATGGATGTCCACTTTAGATCCATTTGAGAGTCAGAACGTCCATATCCGTATTTGGACATCCAGTGTACGTCCGTTTATGATCATTAATTTGACAGCTGCATATCGATACCTAGAGGACGTCTGTTTTTGGACTTAATTTTAAGTTTAGTAGTATCCATCTTAGGTCATTATTTATTTAGCCTATCAGATAATACCCATCTATATACACTTTATTTTTTTAATTTAATTGGTCATTTAAAATTGACAGTTGAATTTATTGCATTTCATTCTATCAGTGGAAGTTTGAAATCTTATTCCATTATAACCATAACTAATAAAAAGATTTCAAGTGGCTCCTTGAAAGCGTAGAATGATAATGGGCGTGTTGTGAGTTCGATTCCTGCTCAGGCCTAGCGATTTTTATTAAAAAAAAAAAAAAAATGGTGTAGGTATAGTGGATTGCAAAATAATAAATAAATAATTATTAATATAAAATGTGGTGAGTTGCGGTTGTGTAAAAAAAAAAATATGGGGATAGGGGTACCGGGATGTGGTCTGAATGGAATATTTTCCAGGAAGGCCTTTTTTAAAATGTCCGGTATTCTATGTCCAAATGTAATCCAGAATTGGACGTCCACTGAATGGTCAAAAGTGCGCCACTCACATCCAGTGGAAGTCGGAAACCCAGAAAAAACTAATTTTCGGACGTCTAGACATCCAAAATTGTATATCGAATGGACGTCTGATGGACATATTTGTGTTAAAGAAACTTATTTCTTATGACATTTTACGTCAACATAAATCAGAGTATTCTACATATGCTTTTCCAATCATAATTATTGTAGTATATTAGACTTATTATTTAGGTTGACATTTTGTGTCATTACTATGAAATGTCAATCTGTTCTTTTCAAATTAGAGTAATGATGCACTCGATATACGGGTGTAACAAAAAGACGTAAAGTAAATTTAACCACAGTTTCTAGGGTCAAAAATAGATTTAAACTAGTTTGCTTGAAAAAAAAAAGGGCGAATAAAAAACATACATAAAGTAAAAAATTTAGAAGTTATTTTTGCTCTTACTCTAAAACGGCTTGACATATTTTTATTAAAATGTATATGGGATGTAAGTATATAATTCAATGGCGTTTAAAATTGTTTTAATTCTATAGGTTTTTGAGCAGAACCCTTTTAAAAATCTATAAAATTAAAACTATTTTTAACGCCACTGGCTCCATTTTATTGGCCACTGTATACTACCTTCTCATATACATTTTCATAAATATATTTTAAGCCATTTTAGAATAAGAACAAAAAAATCACTTTTAAAATTTCAACTTCAACACCCTGCAAGTTTTTACTATCCATTTTTTATACAAGTAAATTGGCTTATTTTCGATCCCAGAAATTATAATTAAATTTACTTTACATCTCTGTTTACATCCTGTATATATTTCTAATTAACCAATAATGATAACTCAATTTATTTTACTTAATCAAAGTTACGTTACTTTTTGTACACACTGTATATTATTGAAACTACATATAGGTTCATTTTACTACTAATTTAAAAGGACACTTACCTGCCGATTTTACATTTTTATATAACTAGTTTAATGTTTAATGTCTTTTTCAGGTGGGATTTCAGGACCGAAGGACACGACATTAAATTCGGTATAACCCTTAAGGACGAAAATGGAGTGGAAAGTCCTGTGGTCCGATACAAACGCGTAGCGTCGAATCAAATAGACGAAAGCGGAGTCATAGCGTGCCAGTCACCGGCGACTTGTAAGTTAAAGAAAAAAAAAAACATTTTAAATTAAATATACCTACATCAGAAATTCACTTTTTCGCAATATTTTTTTATTTAAAAATAAAAAGCTCATAGATTGTAAGACTTTTCATCTAGGGGGGCACCCATAGCCATGGGCGTCGAATGGGGAGGGCAAGGGGGGGCAGTTGCCCCCCCCCTGGCTTTTACGACTTAATCAACAACGCGTAAAATATGCATTACGAACAACAATCTCATAGAAATAATATTCAGGCTAATATAGTCGCTTACATCACGCTTATCCGAAGACTCCAGTGTTAGTTTTTCCTTAAGCCTGTTACATCCAAAAACATAAAAAATAATACTTTTTCACTGCCGATCAGAAAATGAAAATAGTGGAAAAATTTGGAATTGACAAGCTGAATACCAAACGTGGATAGCTAACTGGAGTACGAAAGAGCTTTCTGCACACAATGATATAGCGTCCAAATATTGTGAATTTTATCCAGACATACAAAGAGCTTTAAAAATATTTATGGCTCTTCCACCAACGAGTAGTGAAGTGATCATTCGAATGGTAAATCATTCGAATATTCGATTATTACCATCATCCGAATTATTTAGATTATACCAATATCATTCGAATCATTTGAAATGTCTGAAATTGTAAAAACGAACGAGAGTCATATTTTAAAACTATGGCAGTACTCATTTCTCTCTAAATTTTCATAAGAAGTGTCATACGTCAATGTGGAAATAGTATTTTTAAAATGAGTGAAAACTAATTGTTTTTCTCAGTTTTTTCGGGAGAATTAATATACTTCTAAGAATTTTAATTCTTACTGGCTTTCAAAATACTGTTTTCTCGCTGACATATGACATTTCTTATGATTTGGTGATTTGTTGAAATATGGAATAAAATAGGCACCCAAAATTGCTTATTTTCCTTAAGTAGGACACACATGCAACGTTTTTGCGTCTTCTCTTTTGTATCGCGTTCTAATTGGATAGATCTCTATCAAGTCGGGGAACCACCCAATCACTCCAAAGCAAAATGGTTGCATGATAAATAAAAGTAAACATTGACGTATGATGTTTTAGACTTTGGTGTACTGCATTCTAATTGGATCATTAACTGTCAATATATTACCTTTTGATACATTGATCTTGACCTACCCAATCATTGATGATGGCGTATAATAAATGATTCGAATGATATGATTCGAATGATATGATTCGAATACTCGAAGAATTCGAATTTCAATCATCCGAGTATTCGATTATGCCTATCACTACCAACGACAACGTCAATCGAAACAAGGTTTAGCACGCTAAGGCATGTTAAAACATGGCTGCGGACTATTCGCTCAGTGCAAAGTCATGGAAGGGAAAGCAAAAGTGATACTAGCGCAAGCTGCGGATAATTCGAGTTCTATAGGGCGATATTTTGTAATTTTGACGTATCAAATACATGTATACATTTTACTTTTTTCTTAAAAAATAGGTAAAACTAATAAAATGAGCCTTTGGTTATTGTATGTGGCTGAAATGCAATCTTTTGACTTATTGATATGAAACCAGTTTTAATCATTAATTCCTATGGGTTCTTTCGAACTAAAAATGAAGAAAATATAAATTATAATCGCAAATATACCAATTATTTTTGTTAATACTTTTTGATTCTACGTTATTATATAATGGTAATGTTTTTATTTTGACATTATTTAGCCTTTTCTTTAATGACAACTTAATAAGCTTAAACAACATCTTATACATTTTTTTCGGAAATACCTGCCTGTTTTATTATTGATTATACTACTTTTTTTTTGTTGAAATAATAAAAATATATAATAGTAAATAATTTTGTTTCACCTGTTTTACAAATCCATATACTCTTATTAAAATCAACACAACACATATATTTTTTTTAATTACGAATTCTATTAAAAATTGTATTGTCAGTATACGCAAATATCGTCCGTTAGTTCATAAAATAGTTGGCGCTGCTGTCACGCACGGAGCGAATAATGAATGAAAATAGGCTGACTGGGATACGCATGATAAGCGTACATCGAAAAATAATCAGAGTAAAGATAAAGAAATTATGTCTTCAGTTATCGATGTTTTTGGTAGAGAAAAAGGAAATTTAAAATTTGCGTTTTCCTAGTGTTTTTTTGTGTTTATCGACGTGTTTGAGTTTTTTTTTATTTTTGTGTTTTTAATAATTTTTATTTTTTTATTATTATGTATGGCTGTGTCTTCTTGTTCATATTTTTCTTTTATATCACACCTTATATTTGTTTTTTAAAAATATGTTTTAAGTTTCTTGTTTTTTTTTATTTTAGTTTTTGTCTTTTCTGTTGGATTATTTTATTTATTAGAGACTTGTTAATTTATATTGCTCTTTTATTTTTCATTTTCTTTGTTTTTCAACAAATAAATATTCTCAATTTTTTCAAAATTTTGCACCTCCCTATAGAATTGTGTAACGACGCCCATGCCCATAGCCCTCGCGTCCTCCAGACAATATAGGTCAGTGTTTCTCAAAGTGTGTTCCGAGCAGTGTTGCCAGAATATATTTTTGTAATGTACCAGATTAGTCTAAAAAATGTACCAGATTACATAAAAATGTACTAGATTCTATAAAAATTACCATATTTTCTGATTGTGAAGGGTGGTCATTAAAGAGCAAAAAAAGGTTTATAGAGAACACGAACACAACAATTTTAAACAATATTTTATCTCTCGACAAATTTCTGACACTATTTTATCTCTCGAACAGTTTATAAACCTTTTTTATCTCTCAAGCAATTTTTAACAACTTTTTTTATCCCTCGAGCAATGTTTTTACAATATTTTTTGTACAATTTTTACTATTTAATCATTCGAGTAATTTTGAACAGCATTTTTACCTCTCAAGCTATTTTTAAACAATATTTGATCTCTCGTGCAATTTTTGAGCAAAATTTTAACAATTTCTTACACTATTTTATCTCTCGAGCAATTTTTAAACCTTTTTTTTTTATCTCTTGAGCTATTTTTAACGATATTTTATCTTTAGATAAATTTCTAACATTATTCTATCTCTCGAGAAATGTTTAACAACTTTTTTTTATCTTTTTAGCAAACTGCACAATATTTTAACTCTCGATAAATTTTTAACAATGTTTTATGACTCTAGCAATTTTTAACAACTTCTTTTATCTCTCTTGTAATGTTTATACAATATTTTATTTCTCGAGCAATTTCTAGTAGTATTTTATCGTTCGAAGAATTTTTAAACAATGTTTTATCTCTAGAGAAATTTTTAACAGTATCTCTCGAGTCAATTTTAAACAATATTTTATTTCTCAACAAATTTTTCAACAGTATTTTATTCCTCGAGCAATTTTTAAACAAGGTTTTAACATTTTGTAATACTACTTTACCTCGAACAATTTTTGAACACGATTTTATTTATAATACTATTTAATCTCTCAAACAATATTTAAAAATTTTTTATCTCTCATTAAATTTTGAACAGTATTTTTATCCCTAAAGCAATTTATGAACAATATTTTACCCCTCAAGCAACAATTTCTAATACTATTTTATCCTTCGATCAATTTTTAACATCCTTTTTTACCTCTCAAGCTATTTTTAAACAATATTTGATCTCTCGTGCAATTTTTGAGCAAAATTTTAACAATTTCTTACACTATTTTATCTCTCGAGCAATTTTTAAACCTTTTTTTTATCTCTTGAGCTATTTTTAACGATATTTTATCTTTAGATAAATTTCTAACATTATTCTATCTCTCGAGGAATGTTTAACAACTTTTTTTTATCTTTTTAGCAAACTGCACAATATTTTAACTCTCGATAAATTTTTAACAATGTTTTATGATTCTAGCAATTTTTAACAACTTCTTTTATCTCTCGAGTAATGTTTGTACAATATTTTATTTCTCGAGCAATTTCTAGTAGTATTTTATCGTTCGAGGAATTTTTAAACAATGTTTTATCTCTAGAGAAATTTTTAACAGTATCTCTCGTGTCAATTTTAAACAATATTTTATTTCTCAACAAATTTTTAACAGTATCTCTCGTGTCAATTTTAAACAATATTTTATTTCTCAACAAATTTTTCAACAGTATTCCTCGAGCAATTTTTAAACAAGGTTTTAACATTTTGTAATACTACGTTACCTCGAACAATTTTTGAACACGATTTTATTTATAATACAATTTAATCTCTCAAACAATTTTTAAAATTTTTTTATCTCTCATTAAAGTTTTAACAGTATTTTTATCCCTAAAGCAATTTATGAACAATATTTTACCCCTCAAGCAATTTCTAATACTATTTTATCCTTAGATCAATTTTTAACATCCTTTTTTACCTCTCAAGCTATTTTTAAACAATATTTGATCTCTCGTGCAATTTTTGAGCAAAATTTTAACAATTTCTTACACTATTTTATCTCTCGAACAATTTTTAAACCTTTTTTTTTTATCTCTTGAGCTATTTTTAACGATATTTTATCTTTAGATAAATTTCTAACATTATTCTATCTCTCGAGGAATGTTTAACAACTTTTTTTTATCTTTTTAGCAAACTGCACAATATTTTAACTCTCGATAAATTTTTAACAATGTTTTATGATTCTAGCAATTTTTAACAACTTCTTTTATCTCTCGAGTAATGTTTGTACAATATTTTATTTCTCGAGCAATTTCTAGTAGTATTTTATCGTTCGAGGAATTTTTAAACAATGTTTTATCTCTAGAGAAATTTTTAACAGTATCTCTCGTGTCAATTTTAAACAATATTTTATTTCTCAACAAATTTTTAACAGTATCTCTCGTGTCAATTTTAAACAATATTTTATTTCTCAACAAATTTTTCAACAGTATTCCTCGAGCAATTTTTAAACAAGGTTTTAACATTTTGTAATACTACTTTACCTCGAACAATTTTTGAACACGATTTTATTTATAATACAATTTAATCTCTCAAACAATTTTTAAAAATTTTTTCTCTCATTAAAGTTTTAACAGTATTTTTATCCCTAAAGCAATTTATGAACAATATTTTACCCCTCAAGCAATTTCTAATACTATTTTATCCTTAGATCAATTTTTAACATCCTTTTTTACCTCTCAAGCTATTTTTAAACAATATTTGATCTCTCGTGCAATTTTTGAGCAAAATTTTAACAATTTCTTACACTATTTTATCTCTCGAGCAATTTTTAAACCTTTTTTTTTATCTCTTGAGCTATTTTTAACGATATTTTATCTTTAGATAAATTTCTAACATTATTCTATCTCTCGAGGAATGTTTAACAACTTTTTTATCTTTTTAGCAAACTGCACAATATTTTAACTCTCGATAAATTTTTAACAATGTTTTATGATTCTAGCAATTTTTAACAACTTCTTTTATCTCTCGAGTAATGTTTGTACAATATTTTATTTCTCGAGCAATTTCTAGTAGTATTTTATCGTTCGAGGAATTTTTAAACAATGTTTTATCTCTAGAGAAATTTTGAACAGTATCTCTCGTGTCAATTTTAAACAATATTTTATTTCTCAACAAATTTTTAACAGTATCTCTCGTGTCAATTTTAAACAATATTTTATTTCTCAACAAATTTTTCAACAGTATTCCTCGAGCAATTTTTAAACAAGGTTTTAACATTTTGTAATACTACTTTACCTCGAACAATTTTTGAACACGATTTTATTTATAATACAATTTAATCTCTCAAACAATTTTTAAAATTTTTTTTTCTCTCATTAAAGTTTTAACAGTATTTTTATCCCTAAAGCAATTTATGAACAATATTTTACCCCTCAAGCAATTTCTAATACTATTTTATCCTTTTTAACATCCTTTTTTACCTCTCAAGCTATTTTTAAACAATATTTGATCTCTCGTGCAATTTTTGAGCAAAAGTTTAACAATTTCTTACACTATTTTATCTCTCGAGCAATTTTTAAACCTTTTTTTTTATCTCTTGAGCTATTTTTAACGATATTTTATCTTTAGATAAATTTCTAACATTATTCTATCTCTCGAGGAATGTTTAACAACTTTTTTTTATCTTTTTAGCAAACTGCACAATATTTTAACTCTCGATAAATTTTTAACAATGTTTTATGATTCTAGCAATTTTTAACAACTTCTTTTATCTCTCGAGTAATGTTTGTACAATATTTTATTTCTCGAGCAATTTCTAGTAGTATTTTATCGTTCGAGGAATTTTTAAACAATGTTTTATCTCTAGAGAAATTTTTAACAGTATCTCTCGTGTCAATTTTAAACAATATTTTATTTCTCAACAAATTTTTAACAGTATCTCTCGTGTCAATTTTAAACAATATTTTATTTCTCAACAAATTTTTCAACAGTATTCCTCGAGCAATTTTTAAACAAGGTTTTAACATTTTGTAATACTACTTTACCTCGAACAATTTTTGAACACGATTTTATTTATAATATTATTTAATCTCTCAAACAATTTTTAAATTTTTTTTATCTCTCATTAAATTTTTAACAGTATTTTTATCCCTAAAGCAATTTATGAACAATATTTTACCCCTCAAGCAATTTCTAATACTATTTTATCCTTCGATCAATTTCTAACATCCTTTTTTACCTCTCAAGCTATTTTTGAACAATATTTGATCTCTCGTGCAATTTTTGAACAATGTTTTTATCTCGAGAAATGTCTACTATTTTATCTCTGAAGCAATTTTTAACAAACTATTTTAATTTCTCTGGCAATTTTTAAACAATATATTTTACACTTCAAATGGAACATACGCTGAAAAAAGTACTAGATTTTTCTTAGAGTGTACTAGAGTACCAGCTTCTCAAAGAATGTACTAGATCTAGTACAATTGTACTAGACTGGCAACACTGGTTCCGAGGGCTTCCGCGAAAATACTTGTCATAATAAAAAAAATACTAGAGGAGTACCTGTGGCACTATGAGGAAGTTCGTCACACAAGGGATGCCACCTATTTTTTTCTTACCTTTTTTTATTTCTCACTATTTATATATGAGATATAATAATAAAAACAGTAACAGTGAACACAGATAACATCCACAAAAATGCGTGCTTATTTTAAATCATTTTTCTTCTTCTCCTTTGGTTTTAGTTGGATTTTTGTTTCGTTTTATGAGTGCCTATTATCTTTAATTTTGAATAAAATCTGCTTACGTATCAGATAATGTTTGTAACAATTTTGGAACTCGCTTCGGGAACAAACCTATTACATTATACAATGATTTATTTGTTTACACCGAGTGTGACTATGTTTTAAATAATATTTTGTTTCTATAATAATGCGTGACTGCACAGAGGCGTATTCAATTCTTATTTATGGTTAAATAGATATATTTTTAACAATTACACATTAAATATGTTTTTTTTTAGACTTTGTCACATTTGATAACACATACAGCATATTCAGGAATAAAAAACTGGTCTACAGAGTATGGGTCACCCCTCCGATAGAAAAACTAAACATAATTCCAACGGAATATGATTTAAAGGAGTTGAAATCATCACTAGAAGAGGAATTGATTGCTTCACAGGCTAAATCAGCGGGAGTGAGCAATGGAAACGTAGTGATATCAGAATCTTCGAATATGTGAATAAAAAAATTGACACTAGCAAATTACTAAATTAATTTTTTCAATTAAATACTGAAAAATAGGTAAAATATTTTTTCTGATCCCGTTATGATTGAATTATTTTTTTTTGTGGTAATCATTAGATATTGGTATCGCACATTTAAAACAATAGTGATACTATAGAGTCCGTTTTTTTAAATTATTATTTTGTCTTTTTACTTTTCTGATTAGCACATAAATTAAATCTGTATTAAATAGTTCAATTAGTAACAAAAGAATTGTTTTGAGTAGTATTTTATAATAGTGTCTAAACTTTGTAGGACAAAATAATATTAAAAGTTAACAATGTTCTCTTGTAAATTGTTCATTTTTGTAAAAGTGTTACTTTTGTTTACAAGGTGAGATATATTTAATTTTTTTATAAAATATGCTTTGTTTCCAACGCTTGTTTTGCACCATTTTTAGGAAAAAATATTAATTTTAGCGACTGCCCAAATTTTGGGTGTTTCAATTTAGAAAGTTTCTAAATCCAATGATGTAATCAAACTTAAAAAAAATCGTTTTTGATATGGAAAAAAACTTATGTCTTAAAAAATTAGTCAATGTATGCAAATTTGTATCAGGGCAGGTATACTTTTTTAATGATATGCATGATAAAAAAATATTTTTGAAATATGTTTTTAAAAGGTGGGTCACCTTGTAGATAATAAAGCGGAACAAAATTACAATTACAACTGCAGGGATATCAGTTGTAGCTAAAAATATATTCGAGTTATCAAACTTTAGATAGAAGTAGGTAGATATAGGTATAGCACTGGCAACAAAATTCAAATCTGGTTGTAACTTTATTATTGGTTGTTATGGATAATACGCATCAGAAATTGAACACTTTGCTGAATTTTATCAACTTTTGGGAAACAAGAAAAGAACGTGTAATAAAAATTGTCGCTTGTTTTTTACAAAAATAATGCTAATCAAATGGTGACATACTTACATGTAACTTATACATTTTCTTGCTACTATATTATCTTTGTTTGAAAGAAAAAATGGATATCAACGTTTATAACAGTTATTTTTGCCCGATCTACTGTTATAACTTACTAAGGGTGATTACCAATTTTACCTAAAATGTATATCATTATCTACCCTTGAACTAATTTCTCTCAGGGGGATGGGTACAAAAAAAAATACAATGAAGGTTTCATCGAATTTAATTGATAGATTAGGTTATCTGTCTGGTGCTGGTCTATGTTTGAATGAAATATGAAATGATGGATGACTTTGACAAAAATGACAAATTAAATGATAGGTCAATTAAATAAATAAAATGTCTAGTATAGACGATTTGCAACTAATTAACACAAGCTATAAATTATGGCACAATTCAAATAATTTAAGTGTTAGGCAAGTATTACATACGATATATGGAAAAGAAGGTACTTTATAGAGTACATAAAATAACTAAAATTTTATCAAAAATGGATCTACTTCTTCTTGCAACGTTCTCAATTTATATGCAACTATGTTAGTGCTAGATTAATAATTAATTTTTAATTATTATAAATTTAGGCAATTTAGAATTTTTGTTATATCTAATGATTACCAATGAAAAATATAGCCATTAAACCCCAGTTTTAATTTTAATACTGGATACATTTTTTACATAATATTATACTCATCTGTTAAAAAAAGTGATAACATTTTTCAAAAAAAAAAAAAAACTATTGTGATATATTTAATAGCTTTTTCTGAACTTATATTGAAAGCACATTATTTCTTAAATGTATTTTGTTTCATACCCTATTGTTTACGAAGTTTATACAGGGTATCCTTGAACTCCCTGCCAAACAAAAAACCCAGATATAAATAATTTTATAAATACATTTATTCAACTCATAAAGTGTACATGCATTTTTTTACAATCTTCTATTATACATTTTTATAAAAAACATTTTTTTTTTTAATTTTATTGTATTTTATGCATGTCAGAGATCTGAGGCTGCACTAATTGCGTAGTAAATAGATAAAATCAAGTCTCATATCTTAGGTTTCCGTATATCAGACGAATTCTGGGACACCCTGTATTAAGTGATCCACAAAAAATGATTCTTAAGTATCTAGGCCATGGAGAAATCACGCATATATAGGGCGAATCATAAGTTATTACATTTGTTAACTGTGTACGTCATTAAAAACATTTAAAATGTAACTTAATTTTTGATACACAAGTCCAGGCCCGGATTTATATTTTTTAATTCTGTATTTTAGTTTTGAGTTATTTAAGAAAGAACGTTTATCTTAACGACTTCTGTATGCAGTTACAAAAATTATTAACTTAGATGATTCACCTTATATATCGAAGCTAACGGAATATTTCTTTTTCAACATGTTTGGATTTAATTCAGAGGCGTACTTGACTCCTATATCTCTGGTTTAGTCAGTCATAGAAATATTTGTTGTGGATAAATCGTTATAGATTAGTTTTAATTACTGTTATAATTATTATTTTTGTTTAATATAGTGCACGGTGGATGACAGTGTATAAGTGTTCCAACTCTCTGAAAAATTGATTCTATCCAGTGCATAGTTTGAAATAATTCGCAAGAGGTCGTAACTTTACCCACAACGGAGCAAATGTATACAAATAATTTTTTATTATAATATTAAAACTAAGGTTAGATCAAGGGCGGCTCCAGGGGGAGGGCATGGGGACCATGGCCCCCCGAGGTGAAAATTGTTATGATTTATTGGCCTTTTATTTAAAAAAATATGCTAAAAAATTCGTCTTGGAGCCGCCCTTGGGTTAGATATATGGTTTTAGTATTGATCAATCCTGTTGCCAAATTATATTTTGTTTTTTCGGATCCGGACTGATAGTCTGATGAGTGCCCGATAAAGAAAAAACAGACAAAATATAATTTATATTAAAAAATAAAACCTCAAAATCTTAAAATATAATTTGGGAACAGGGTTGATCAATATTAAAACCAAACCAATAACAAAATTAAATACACTCGTAAGGGGATGAATTAAGAGGAGAGTATTGTTATTACAATTTAAAAACTGTGTATCTCCAAAAAATCTCTCAAAACGTATATTAACCTATCAAACGATTGACCAATCCGCTAATGGCCAGATTTAAACTTGTCTATCTGTTTAATGGTCAAAGAGTCTACTATAAACTTACGACCTCTAGCGGATCTTTTTTAGAACCGATCGCACGTTAGGGACATATTTTTCTTTGGTTGAAACATCTATAATAGCGTTTCATCCATCGTGATAATATGGTGTTTTGTGAATATGAACATTTGTATATAATAAAATTGAAAAATAATTTTTTTTATTATTCCGAAATTTTAAAATTTACATACAAAATATATTACAAAATTTCCTGAATTATCACCAATTGTCAGTAAAATTTAGCTGTCTCCCAGATTTCCAGAAAACTGGACACCATAAGGATAATATAACACTATTCATATCTCTGATGTACATTTGTTAGTTCTTAACTTAATAAAGTGGACTATATAAAAAATGAAAGGTTAAACCAGGTCCCTCTATTTAAAAATAAATCTCCCAAACAATGAATTGCCGGGATATTGCTGGCTTTTTGCCGTAATTGAAGGGAAAATGAATGCGACGATTAAAAATAAACCCTACTTTTGGCCTTTCGATAGTGGCCTAGCATTATATGTTGGTTGATGATGGCCCTATGAACGGGATGATGGGAAAACGCATGCTAAAACTCACATGGACGTCTTATGAACGTCTAAAAGATGTTCTTCAGGGACGTCCTCTTCTGGTGCCGGGACATAAATCCGACGTACAATGGATGTTCTAATGTCCCATTTTCATCAATCTCATCAACGTAACTGAGCTTTATAATTTTGGCAAAATTAAGTTTCTTTCAACAGCAGTACTCACTTTCCGCCATTGAGGTATTTTCTTTCCGCCAGCGCTACCTCCGATACAAATAATTTATTCACACAAAGCACTCCACTTTATAACAAATTTACCACCAACATCAAAAAACTAACAAAATATAACCTTATTTTCTTCTTCGTTATTCTAACCACTCTTACTTACAAGTTAATTATTTAACGCCGAAAATTTTAGCTGTTGTTCATTTGAAATAAAATGATAATTAGGTTTTGTCCTTATCCTTCTCTTGCCAAAACAAAACGTTGAATTTTAAGCTATAGATTCAAAGACCAACGTCCTTATTTTATTATTTTACATTCAAGAAATCACTTTATTATTTGTATCCAGTTATATAGCATGTACCTTTCCTAAAACGCTTATCCTAAACGACGTCTATCCTACAATACCTCCTATCCCCGAAGGTTTCAACGTCTCGACGCCCAAGGTACTGCCGTCCTACTTCCCTACCTTTCTACGCTATCACTTCTAACACCACTTTAGTATTTCCTACCATTATATTCATCCCGACGCTCAACGTCCAGACGCCCTACTTCCCTACCTATCTACGTCTCGAACGCTGTCACATGTACGAATTTCCTACCTTACATTCATTCCGACGCCCAACGTCCCCTTGCTATACTTCTCGACGCTTACCGCCCCTAAATATTTCATTCATAATATCCTTGTCGACAATCTTCGTTACGTCCCGCACCACCTGTATATTTGTACCGTATTTCTGTCCCAATGCAGTACCATATTAAAAACCTTACTCTCCACCACGACGCTAAGCGCCTCGACGCTCAACGCTGCGACGTACCTAAATTAACTAGACGATCACTTCTACTACTTGAGGAAAAAGACGAATTTAAAGTAAAATAAACTTGTGAGGTAAATAATAACATTTCAGAGTAAAACAACGAACAAAATGGGGGTACAGGGGGTGGGCCGTCACAATATTTTTGGGCTGTTACTGGTCTTTCTAATGTTAAAACTATTCTAATGGCGCCTGAAATAACCTGGTTATATCTGGGGTTTGCATATTTGTCAGACCACCCTGTAAATTATTTTGAAATTTAATATTAATTCACAAAAAAAAACCAGTAAAAAGAAAGAAAATCGACAACTCATCGATAATGGGCCCTAAACCCTCGCCTGTGATCGTTCGTTTTGATTTAACATTCTTGTATGTTTTAGCAATATTAAATGTAGATGGCGCTCTATTCTTTTTGCAATAACTCTGAAACGAACGATCGTATCCAATTGCAGTTTTCACGTTTCTCTTGCAATTTAATCTCTTTACCGATTATGACGTCATAGTTATACAATATAATTTGTTTTCGGAACAAAATTAAGACTTATCACAAATTGCGTCATCTATCAGTTTTATTAAGAACCATCGTGTATCAATAGATGCGACATTTAAAAGTTCTTATCTTTTTCTTTCAAACAATCTTAAGTATACTAAAATTGGGTAAGTCGTTTAGAAGATACAATGAATTAAATGATTACAATTTCAATAGCTCCCCCTGCTATCAAGATCGGTACGCCAATGAGCCCGAGATCAAAATTATGCAGAACTGTCAATATAAGCTTTCTAATCACGTTACCAATGAATTTTCGGAGAAATTAAGACTGTACCCCCTTGCCCATGAATTTTTGTTCCCTTAATTTCTATGCCCAGTAGTCTCAGATATGGCAAGTAGCTAATTTTTAATGAAACATCCTGTATATTTTGATAAATTGCAAATTAAAAGTGTACTTACCTTGTTTTAGCAGTAAGCCGACGATTAAAAAAAAACTAGTTTTTTATCATAACATATAGGAACAGTTAAATATGAGAAAAAAAAAAAACACTATAAATATAGAAATTGAATACTTTTATCAGATGTAGATACAATTTCCAAAATAAAATACTTAAACACAAAAAAACATCAATGGATTCTCATTAAGTCCATCTAATCATCATCATCATTGAACATCATGTCGATGAGATCAGCTTTATCACATTGTTCACCCTCCAATCTTTGTGGTCCATTCCATCTAACTAGGGTTGGCAATACACGAAGCTTTGTTTTGGGATCCTTCCTGAAAGGACATTCAGGGTCTTTCCATCTAAAATTAAATAATTATTGAACTTGCTTTTTTAATTTTTTTAGCAAGCATGGATATGAGGAGTTCTCAAAGTTGGATCTTATGTTGTTTTAATAAAATTGTAACCATGTTCTTTTATTAAGTACGTTTAAACAAAATATATCATAAATTAGGTTTTAATTAAATTATTATTGAATTTGCTTTTTTTATTTCTATTAACAAGCATTGATATGTGGAATTTTCAAAGTTGGATCTTATGTTGTTCTAATAAAATTGTAATCACGTTTTTTATTAAGTACTTTTAAACAAAATAAATCTTAAATTAGGTTTTAATTTGAATCTTATCATTATAATCAATAAGTATGTAATTATAAAGTAAATTCTCTATTGTTAGCTTGTTGTGGTCCTTGCAGTACTAAAATATATCATATTAAAACTAATCCATTAAAACTAATCATTATTTGTGCTCTAATTTTTATTCAGTTACAATATTATAACTCTAGTAGATACCAAGCATTTTTTACTGCCTGATAATTTAATACTACAACAATGTTAAGATAAAAATAAATATGTGCATTAGCATATCAACATCAAACACAGATAAAAACGTTTTATTGACACAGTTAATATTGTTATATGTATTAAAAGTAACTTATATCAATGATTTATTTATTTAACGAATTATAAGTATTATAATACAAAATATTGGTGTATCATTTAATAGTAATTATTTGTAAAAAGGAATTATTTTTACTTACACTTCACGTTCTCCAACTTGAACACGAACAAAATGTGAATTTGGATCAGTTTTTTCCAATTCTTTATCTATGACTGGCCAAGCTAAAATACAAAAAAAGCAATATTTTCACCCAAGAACAGTTAAGAATTAAAACATAAAAAATTATGAAGGAAACATACAGTAAATAATTTGCTTCCAAGTAGATCATTTTGAAAAAACAGTTTTGTGAAAAGCTAAAAACTGTTCTATCTCCTGAATCTTAAAAGAAAACAACTAAAGCTAATGTATAAAAAAAGAACAAAAATATCCATAAAGAAATAGGAAAATTAAATCTATGAAATTGGTGATTTTTAGAAATAAAAGGAAAACAAGGATTAAAAGTAATTTTAAAAAACGACTTCAAAATCGTGCAGATCCCATCTTGACCAAATTTATATTGGACAACCCCTGAGCTACCCCTTTACTAAGAAAAAAAGAATCATACAAATTGGACAAGGTGCTAAAGAATTATCGCTAAACATACACAAAAAATTAAGAGTTTGAGGATTTTCTCATGGACCCAATTATTAGATTTGGGCCAAATTTATATGAGACCACCCCTGAAGTAACCCCTTTCTAAAACAAAAAGAATCATTGAAATCGGACACAGTGTTAAAGAATTATCGCTGAACATATATAAAAAAATATATATATTTCAATGAATTGAGAACCACCTTCTTTTTGAAGTCCGTTAATAATAATTTATATAGATACTGATTACCATGTTATAGTGATTTACAATAATTTATTGATAATTGTAAAATTGACAACAGAAGTTCTTTAAGGTACTTTCTAATATTTTAAAGATACATATACCTACATAAGTGTAAGGAAAAGTCATTGTAAATTTTTACTACACTACTTACTCGAAAAAATGAAGGGATCAAAAAAAATTTCGATTTTTTGCGAGACTGTATCTTTGGTAAAAATGGTCGTACGTGAATGGAAAAAAAAAAGCAATTTGAAGCTTGAAGTGTCTAGTTTATGGATCTTGCGAAAAAAAATGTTCCAACCAACAGTTACTTAGCACAAAATCCTGATGAATATCATGAATAGAAAAACGCGATCCTTCAATTTCTTCAAAAATTCACTCGCATGAAACAATGAAACGGCTTGATGGATCAGGTTGAAATTTTGTAGGGCTTTCAAGGGAACAATGGCCTGTAAGATGCACACTCAACATTATTCATTTTCCCAATATTCTCAATGTGGCATGTGATTTTCTAAAAAACCTCAAAAAGACTTGTTTTTCGAAATTCTTCAAAGTCATGCTAGGGATAAAAAAAAATTCTCGTAAAAGAACATGCCAGAACCTTGTAAAGAATGAATCGAAGTTTCCGAAACCCCCCTTTCATTTTCTGAGCGGCATTGGTTCCTGAGATATTGACGAGAGAAGAGGAAATGACTCATTTTTGTTCATTTTCTGACAAGGAAGGGTCATCTCGAGGCCATCAAAAAAAGGAATTGAAGCTAACTGAACCACCTATCCAATGCATATAGTGGTTATGTCGAAAAAATTTAATTAAAGTCCGTACACTAAAAATTAAAAAAAAAATTTCAAAAATGTTCTATCCATGATATTCATCAGGATTTTGTGCTAATTGTTGGTTGGAAATTTTTTTATCGCAAGATCCATAAACTAGACACTTCAAGCTTCAAATTGCTTTTTTTTCATTAACATACAACCATTTTTACCAAAGATACAGCCACTCGAAAAATCGCAAAAAATCGAGATTTTTTTTATCCCTTATTTTTTCCACTAGTGTAGGTAATATGAAAACGTGTTTTGAATATGACATAATTAAATAAAATTCTGTTATATTTAGTCCAGTATCTATTATAAAAAATAAACACAATATAAAACACAAATATGTACTGTAACATCCAATACAACAACATTTTAAGTGTAAGCTTATTTCAGTAATAATTCTGCAATTACATACATAATTATGTTTTTAAACAAACACCTAAACAAGACATGATACATATTCAACATACAAGTGATAAGTAGAAAACAAGCAAAAACCAGACTGTTTTTTGTTTGTTTAGTTCAAAATATTGATTTCTATAGTGTAATACCTAATTCGAAAACCAATTCTATCATTTATTAAAACTGTATTATTTATTTAACTTATAGTTATTAAACAAAGATTAAAATAAATATCTTATCAAAATTTTCCACAAGAAAGTATATTAAGTCCCCTTTTATTTTTAGTTTATATAAATGACATTGTTAATGTCAAGGGTCAAGGTGACATTCACCTGTTTGCTGATGATGTTTTTATATATTTTTCTTATAAGAATCCAGAATACTTTTGTGGCTCATAGTTCACTGTACAAGCTGCACCTTTTGATGAAGAACATATCCAGAACACTTAGTAATGAAACCGAAAAATGTTTATAAATGGTGTTACAATAATTTGTTAAAAATTAACACAAATAAAACAAAATGTATGCTGATAAGTAATAACTATAACTATGTGCAATTTGTTGATAAACAATATAACATCACAGTTGGAAAAAATGTATAGTTATTAAAAAAATTCAAATAGTTGGGAGTATTGACTGATGTATATAGATGAAATTCACAGGCCATGCCAACACTGTTATCAAAACTATTGCATTTAGGTTAAATTTACTATATATAGAAGTTCATTTGACTGCAGAATTCAGCAATTCAAATAATATATTATTCAAAATATACTCCCATTAATCACATATTTGAAACTTTGAATTATATGCCAATCAAAAGGAATGCATTATAAAAATCAAACACAGGATACTTCCAATGTATCAAATAGAAAAGCCTAATAATTGAGGCACATAGAATAACAGTGATCCATCTCCATATAGAGCTGTTTTGATATTGAAGTGTTTTCAAAATTTATTACATGGAAAATTTTCTGTTTTGAAAAACTATTATGTAATGAGTACCCCTATCTTTAGGTCAAAAAGTAAAATATGGAGATAGACCAACTTTATACTGAAAGATATATATTATACAATTCATTTTAAAATGAGGGCAGCTATATAAAAAAAGTGGAGTTAGACCACTATTATTCTATGTGCCTCAATTATCACTCTAATGTGCATAGTTATCCAAAGTTGAAACAGAAATAACTAAGTTAAAAAATTCCATAAAATTAATCATGTCAATTTAAAACATAAATAGCTAGTAGTTGTACTAAAAACTGTAATAAAGACTATGTTACAATGTAAGGACTGTTCAGAAAGAGTAACTGAATATGAAAAAAGCAAGGGAATCCAATATTCACAAGACTCTTGGTCATATTTCCATAACTATCAACTGTACTGAGCCTATAATACATAAATCTACCTCTATCACTTAACAGAAATCAACAAATTTAACTTTTTGGAAAATAACATCCAACTTTAGTGATAAGCTTGCATTCAAAAATTTGGCATTAAGTGATGATGATGTTAGTGTATTTTCCTTATTGATTTGAGTGGTGGTAATTCTATAACTACATCTATTATAAGACCTTTAAAATAATTGGTAGGTGCATGTTTAAATAACCCAACTAATTTATCGATTAAAAGTTCAAGTGACAAGAAAAATAATTCAAATTAATCAAATCTGACTCCAATTCTTTGAATTCTTAAAAAGAGATGATTGTGGTTACAAGAATTTTAAAAATACTACATTATTTAATGAATTTAGTTCGATACTTTGTCCACTTGGTAAAATAATTAGTCATTGCAAATTAGGCTCTTAATAACTACCTTTAGGGCCAGTAAAGTTGAAAGTAACTTCAGCTGATCAGGTTATAGGTTATAATTCACTAATCTGCCAAATAACTTGACTCAGAGGTGAAAAAATCGGCCCTTAAAATAATAATTAGAAGTTAAATACTGTACATTTCCTATAATCTATACCTAAAACTTATCCTAACCTAATATTTAAAAAAAAATTACTTGAATCGAGATAAAATATAATACTCACCTCTTTCGCAATATGTACACCAGCTAGTACCATCGTCTTTCCTGATACTCGAATAGAGTACGTGAACTTTTTGCCCTTGGCTATCGAAATTTTTGAAAAATTCCTGGAATTTGTCATATCCAGTAACTACATGTAATTGAACCATTTTTGACGAGAGATTGCTAGTTGAATAACGACGCAATAACTGACTAATCATTCAGGTGTAGACAACTTGATTTATAATACCGGTTTAATGTTTAATTAAATAGATAGGATAGTTTAAATAAAACAATCTTGTGCTGGCAAAAATTGCAACTCAACGGTAAACTAAGTAGTAACTGGTAATATAATCACAAAATAATTTATCTATGTACAAATCTGGACGAATTGTGGATGTGAAACCACATAAACTGATTAGTAGCACTTGAAACACTTCACGTTCATTCGCGTTTTCGTTTTATATTTTGTATGAAATATGGAATGGAATATCACCGAAATTATTTATAAATATAATAATTGGCTGATTCGCTGACTCATCGTGACTCGCCGAGAAGACAGAAACGTCATTCAACGTTGCCAAGTTGGAAACTAAACTAACTACATCAAAATTTAAAAAAAAAAACCTAGAGATAACTTATCGTTTTTAAGGAAAATGACATGAAAATTTGACATTTAATTTCTAGGATTTTATGAAACTGGCCGGAATAAAATTGTGTAATGTTGATATGTTACCAAAAAGAATTATATTTGTGTAGACTGGATGTTGTAATTTAATAAGGAACAGTTTGACATGTTTTTTTACATGGTGTCAGAAGCATTTTTTTATAATTTACGTAGCTAATGTCATTTCCAATTTTGACTGAGCTAATTCTATAAGGGCCGATTCCACCATTGTGTTAAACGGAGATTAAAATGACATTGTTAATGTAAATATGTAATTTTAAGCTTCGTTTAACACAACGGTGGAATCGGTCCTAATCTAACCAAAAAACACTAATTGCATGTCACTTCCACTTGTCAATATTAACCCACGTTTGGACTCAGGTATTTACCGGTTATAATTAATGACGTTTTAAAGGGCTTAAATATGACGTTATAGAAAGTAACCAAGGATAACAAACATCGCTTTAATTAAAACAGTAAATACCGCAAATTACCGGTTGATCGCTTTAAAACGGTTATAGTCTTTGTGGTTATAGTCTTGTAATGTAATTTTTTTATAGATTTTGGCTTGCAGATCTTATAGATTGTCTCAAAATCGACCTATTAATCTAATATGAAATATTTTCAAAAACCATATCATTAGATTTGCTTATAACTAAATGTTATGATGAAAAGCAGAGGTAAATTAACACATCATTCATTGATAATTACTTTACAAACTCATCTTATAAAATTGAATTTATCATTTTCACTAACGAAAATAGACCTATATCGCGATATAGAGGCCTGAACTATTTTACAGTACGGTAATGTAACGTCACACAATTAGGTTAAGTGGAAGAATAACGCTCTTCTTCTATCTGATTTTTTTCAGATTGAAGAAAACGAACTTTGCCTGTTACTCTACAGGATTACTTGTATTTCTTATCTATTAGTGATGTATTTTTAATTGTTTGTAAAGGCCTGTATCAATAAAATTATTATCTATTAAATGTTTTATTTATCCGTGTTTAAATTATAAGTTTGTGATTTTCTCTTTAATAAAAACAAATTAAAAACTCCTTTATGTGCATTAGGTCTTGTACAGTGTTTGTAAAACAATTTAAGTAACGTTCAGCTTTTTTTTGTATAAATTTGCAATAAAAACAAATCGGCCTCTACATTACTAAATATAACCCTTAATTTGCTCCTTCTTTTTGATATTTTTTTTTTAGACTCCGTTATGTACCTCAAGTCCTGTACATTGTATCTGAAATTATTTAAATAGAAAAATAAATAAAATAATGATTTTTAAAATAGCAATTTATTTATATTAATTTTATTGGTTCATAAGTATGCCATATATAAAAAGTATAGTATAAACAAATGTTTGGTTAATATATAATTAATATAATGGATTTATGGTAACATATTAGCACTTTAGTTTTAAGAATCATCATCTTCAAAAAGCATCTGGACTAATTCTTTTTTCTCGCATTGGTCGCCTTCCAGTCGCTGAGGTTGCTGCCATCTTATTATAGTGGGTAGAACCATTAATTTAGTAGATGGATCTGTTCTGAATGGACATTTTGGGTCTTTCCATCTAGAAAAATTATTGTTCAACAAAATTTTAAACATATTCAATTATTGTGAACCACGAATATGGCAAATTGAGCCAAAAAAGACGTAGACAAACAAAGTATAGAAAGTAGAAGAGGATCTTGTACCTCTCTCTAATTTCAAATTCAGGAAGTTGCTGTTGCAATTTAAAAAAGTTAATTCATCTATAGTCATTCTATAATATGTAAAATAATCAATGATATATAAATGCTTACGTTACTCTATCACCCACTTCAACATGAACAAAGTGTGATTCGGGTTCAGATGCTTCAAGTTTTTCAATTTCTTCAGAAATTACAGGCCATGCTGAAATAATGTAAAATTTAAGTTGATTTTTTACTATACATTTTGTTTTATTTGAAACAGGAAGGTATTTGTACAAAAATAATTAGTACGCCACTGAGTGTGTACTGTTCAAACAATGTTGCCAAATAAATTACGGCTTTATAGATTTCGACTTTATTATGGGATTAAATATAGGGTGTACCAATAAAAATTCCATGATATTTTGAAAAGGAATTGAAATGTTATCCTACAAATTTTCCAAAAAAATATTATAGGTTGTCATAATAGTTAAATGTTTGGACTTAAATAATATCTAGATTTATAGAATTTGCCTAAAAATGCATTATTTACAAGATGTGCTACATTTGAAAGATATACATATTTAAAATCAATTTATATCAAAAACTGAATTAAGCTCTCTTAGTGCTTAACAAACTGGGTTTTACAGAAATAAAATATCTATTATTTCTAAGATATCCCGCCTAGTAGTTTTTATTGGTACACTCTATATAACAAGTTATTAATTTATATATTAAACTGCCATCTATTACTGGTTATAATGACAATAGTTTAGCGACTAAATTTAAAATAGTTTTAGGATCGCATAAGTGTTGGCAGTCACTTTCAAAAGTAACCAATGTGACTGAAGAGACCAAAAGTACCAATCACTTATGGAAAATGAGCGGTCATTTCTAAATGTGACCAGTTACGCGTCCATAGTATTCTAATCTAGGATTTTTTTTAACGTATTGAGTCTTGGGATAATGATATCAAATTAAGCATGTTATATTGATTATCTGGAAATTAGGATAAAATTATCTTGATATCTTTGCAGTACGCAGTATCGCGGTATCGTTGAAGAGCTTATACAGAAACTTAATGAAAAATACAATTTTCGTTCACTTAAAATGAACGGTCATTTGCAAACACTAGATCACATACATTAAACAAATTTGTTTTTCTAGACATGCTATTAACATCAAAACATTTAAAATAAAAATGAATAGGTATTTTTAGTTTTTAAATTTGTGTTATTCAGTAGATATGATAAAATAAACAAACTTGGCAACCACGCAAAATAAAGTCATATTGACAAATTAACCTCAAATTTCTAATTGACGTGTACATGTAAATGATATTATTCTCACTAATTTCTGAAGTTGATTGCCAATTAAAAGAGAAAATTCTGACTTACCTCTTTGACAGTCGTCGCACCAACTTAGGCCATCAGTTGTCGATTTAGATCCTCCGAAATATATGTGTACCTTGTGCCCATTTGCATCGAAATTTTTGAAGAATTCCACAAATTTCTCATAGCCTTCTATGTGATGTTTGTGAACCATTATTAATATAAAATATTTAAGCCTTCTACACAATAACCGGTAGAAGCAACAATGCCGACAATTTCGAATGGTATGCAAATTTCAACAGAGGTAGGTATACGCCGGTTTTTTCCAACAGATTTTTGTCTAAATTATGCTAATAATGCTAATATATGTAATTAATTTAAAACGATACAGTGCACCGAGTGCACAGTAAGTAGTGCAGTGTTGCCAGATCCAGAATTTTTTTGACCACTTTTATTCGAGTGGTCGCTGAAGGAAATCAAAATCTTTCTTCGTACGCTTCAAAACAGTGACGGGTACAAAAAACAAAAAAAATAATGGTAAATTTGTTAAACATCTTCGCTAAAGATTCAATTTTGCCTCAAAATTCTTCAAATAATATGAATAAAATCTATAAACAGGTAAAATTTTAGGTCAAAACCCTTCATATCAAAGGAAATCCGTCAATTTTGGCAACACTGAGTGACTGTTTTGTGAGCAGGATGACAAGCACCAGGGTCGTTCTAAGATATTCGGTGCCCATTAGCTACTAATAATAATGCGCCACTTTTTTCATTAGAAAATACACTGGCAAAGGTACACAAAAGTGTCAGAACTCAAAATGTCCAATTTATTACCATTACTCTAAACAAAACAAAAACATACAAAATTAAAAAATCTATATGAACGAAAACAATAGTTTTTTATGCAACAAGTGTGTAAAGTTACTTTTTTTGACGAATGTGAATGTTGTATAATATTAAATCCATTGTATACAACACTGCTGTGTGATGAGTTGCATAACAGTAGTTCATTGCAATTTATTTTGCCTAGTATACCGCTACCCATAATGCAGCCGGGCGTAATGAGTATTGCATAAAAATATAACAGCAAGCAGGTTAAATTTTTAAATGAAATAAAAATATATTCAATTATAATAAAACATTGTATTTACGTTTTTCAGATAATGTTTATCTTAGGAACTTCATAGTTTTAAGAATCATCTTCTTCAAAAAGCATCTGGACCAATTCTTTTTTCTCGCATTTGTCGCCTTCCAGTCGCTGAGGTTTCTTCCATCTTATTATAGTGGGTAACGTCATCAATTTGGTAGATGGGTCTGTTCTGAATGGACATTTTGGATCTTTCCATCTAGAAAAAGATTGTTCAATTATCTTTTAAAACAACATATTCAATTTTTAACTAGGTATTTTTAATAAAAAAAAATCGCTTTCTTTATCATCGCTTTTAAATATAAGTATTAATTTAAAATTATAAGGCAAAATGAGCCGAATATATATAGGCAAAAGATGCCCACTGCTTTTCCTGCAGATATATACTTAGTCAATAGAATTATATCTGGAGAAATGAGGTACATAAAAGTAAAATAGTATCTTATTGTCATGTCTTTTATAAATTCAGTAAGTTGGCTTGATTTAAAAAATTCAGTACATTTTTATATTAATTCCTTAATATGTAAAATATTCAGCGATATATTTATAAATACTTACAAGAATTTATCACCCACTTCAACATGAACAAAGTGCGATTCGGGATCAGAAGCTTTAAGTTCTTCAATTACTTCGGTAATCACAGGCCATGCTGAAATAGTATATAATTTAAAAGTTGATTTTTTTACTACAAATTTTATCTTTTATTTGAAATAAGTCGGCCATTTTTGTTTAAGTATAAGTATCAATTCAAAATTATGCATGATATATTAAACGTGGCTCTGGACTCATTATCACTCGATATATTCTCACTAATTTTCCACCCAACAAACAATCAATTGCCGGGAAACTGATGGCCCTTTACCGCGATTAATGGGGAGATGACGATGTTGGACTAAATGTTGAAAGACTACTTTATTTTCATGGTTTGTGGGCCATCAATCATTATTAATATTGGTATTGGCCTTGCGTTGGGGGAGAGCTGGGTATTCATAATTACAAGAGCAATACAGTACAAAAAAATGAGACGAATTTTGTAGATTCTTTTTTAAAACTGCCATTGCCATCGAAGTTTTAGCAGTTAAAATAGTAAAGGTCTATTAAAGGTCCTTCAACTGTATGAAGGCAAAATTACTCTAGGATGTCAAACGCCCTGTAACTGTTATTGATGGCAAAATGACTGTGGCTTGAATATCGGTCGTAGTGATCTATATATGCCGGCACTTTGTAGGTAATTGTGCCATTATATGTCCCCACATTAAAATGTTTGTGGAAAAATTAAAAAAAGAAAATTCTGACTTACCTCTTACACAGTCGGGGCACCAAGTTTCTCCCTTATTTGAACCTCCGAAATATATGTGTACCGTGTGTCCATTTGCATTAAAATTTTTAAAGAATTCCACAAAATTCTCGTAACCTTCTATGTGATGTTTGTGAACCATTATTAATATAAAATATTTAAGTCGTCTATTATTTTACAATTAGCGACAAAAGCAACAATGTCGACAATATGGAATCAAAAGAGGTGCCGGTTATTCCAACAGAATGTTTTAAATTTATCTAATATTAAGAGCATATAGAAGGGGGACTGATAACTAAATTATTTATCTTTTACTTAGAATATACTTTCAACAACAAAGGTAAATAAATAATAAGTTAAACAATCAATAGATACTCAGCCATTAATTGCTATTTTCTTATCTAATCTAATATAGGTACCTAGTCATGATTAATTTAATAGCGTCATTTTGAGTACTTTCACATTATCATGATCAAATAACTGATATCTTCATCATTATCATAAATATTATAAATAATAATCTACTGTACATTTTGCTGTATGTTGAGTTGCATAAACCGTAGTGTATTACTATTTCTGTTGCTTACTATGTCGCTACCCATAAAACAACTCCGTGTATTAAGTATTGCATAAAAATGCGAGCAGGTTCGGCGTTGCCCATACAATTTAAGTGAAATCAAGAACTCTTAAAATTGTAATAAAATATTGTATTTGTATTTTAAAATAATGTTTATCTTATTAATAATAATAATAGATCAATTTTTAATATTTTAAACAACTTGAAGTAATACCACCAAATAAGTAGTTATTGCAGCAATAAACTAAAAAATAAACAATAGTTAGTTATTAATATTTTTTTTTAGGTATGTATATTTTTAGAAAAAGGTTAGGCCGAGTGTCATATGATCTGATTCCATGTTTAATATAGGATTATTTACTTCATGTCTTATTCTAGTATGTTTTATATGTCCCAGTGGGTTCCAGTTGTTGGAGATGTCCAGCCTGTATGCACTCATTCTAACCTCCCCTTGCTATGTTAAGGGGTGGACGGTTTAAAATGATTTCATAGAGGCTGTCGCTGTACTTCTGTATTCCTATAATACAAAGACATGATGCCAGCTTCTGAACTCCTGAGAGGGTATTGAGGGTTGCTTTCTGGTTTACTTTTGGCCACCAAACAACTGTTCCATAAGTTATCATGTACATGTGTAATTAATTTTTACATTTAAAAAAAATGTTACTTACACCTGTCAGTAGAGATCTGTCTAATTTAAATAATCCCAAAATATTGATCTGAGTCTTGCACAATTTTAATTGGATAATCAGATTTAATAACTAAAAAAAAAAAGAAATTGCTATTAGACTATATCGAATTTAGTTTTTTTTAAAAGTGAATTTTTCTAAAAATAAAATCTTATTAACGAAAGCGTCAGCTGGTTCTCCCTCTGCCTTCATATTTACTTTCTTCCAGCATTCTCTTCTGCTTTCTGTTAAAAGATATACCAAAACTTAACTATGTTGCTAGTGGTGTCATCTATTGATGTCACCTTTAAACTTATGTCTTTGTCAAGTATTAAAATAAAGTTAGTCTATCAAAACAACTCGAACCGGTAGTTTTAATAGGTTATGGGCCCAGAATGTTTTGGTGGGAACAGCAGACTTAATAATGTGTATAAGTTAAAATTAGAACAACAAAACGTAGGTCTGCTAACGACTTAAATAAAATGGTAGGACTAGTGGATGGACTTATTTATAAACGACAAGCAAATATTCAAAAAAATTAAATTTAGAGTTAAGTGATCAGAGTGTGACTGAAGTACCTTATTAGAATTTAATTGGAAGTTTAATGTGCTGTGCTAATTAGGCCTGATATTGCTTACAGTGTTAGCTACTTGAGTCAATTTAATGTCACACACTGGGCAGCATTGGAAATATGCTAAACGCATTTTAAGTTACTTAAAAGGAACTAAAGAATATTGTTTAAGATTTTCCAAAGAAAACATGGAACTAGTTGGTTTTGTAGATGCTGATTGGGGCAACAATTTATTAGATAGAAAATCATATACTGGATATGCTTTTAAATTTTGTGGTTCCGTGATTTCGTGGGAAAGTACTAAACAGAAAACCGTTGCACTTTCTAGAACTGAAGCGCGATACATGGCCATTTCAGAGGCACCTAAAGAAGCAATTTATATAAAACATTTGCTACATATGAGCTAACTGGAAATGATCAATGTATTGTCCTCGTTAATGACAATCAGGGTGCTATTAATTTGTCAGCAAATCACACATATCATAAGAGGTCTAAACATATTGATATAAGACATCATTTTATAAGAGAAGTTATAGCCAATAAACAGATTGTTTTAAAATATTTACCTACTAATATGATGCCAGCTGATGTACTGACAAAAGGTTTAGCAACTGATAAACATTTTCATTTTTTAGAATTGTTAGGTATTACAGGTGTTCCTAATTGTTAAACATATTTGATTTGTTAAATTTTTGTAAGTGGGGGTGTTAAAAGATATACCAAAACTTAACTATGCTACTGGTGGTGCAATCTATTGATGTCACCTCACAACATATGTCACATGTCTTTGTATTTAAATAAAGTTAGTCTATCAAAATAACTCGAACCGGTAGTTTTATTACTTTCTTAGATAACTGTGTAGTGAGCAGTTAATATCTACTGTCTACATTATTTTATTTATAAATGTTTAACGTCTTACAATGAGTTAAACAAAGTTTAATAGGAACATGCACAATAACAAAGATACTGCTCTACGCGAACATCGATACGACTCTTTGACGTCTCCTTGCCCCACTATATACTTCAGACATTTATGCACGACGAGCGATAGCGGTCTTTGCCTAATACGTGCATGTTCCTATTATACCTTGTTTAACTTACTTTAAGGTATATATTTTGTGCCTGTATACAAATATTGTAAATTTATAGGTATACTTACTGCCGTTTTAGTTTTAAGAACTTTTTCTTGGCGACAAGCGATAGCAGTCTTTGCCTAATACGTGCATGTTCCTATTATACCTTGTTTAACTTACTTTAAGGTATATATTTTGTGCCTGTATACAAATATTGTAAATTTATAGGTATACTTACTGCCGTTTTAGTTTTAAGAACTTTTTCTTGGCGACAAGCGATAGCAGTCTTTGCCTAATACGTGCATGTTCCTATTATACCTTGTTTAACTCACTTTAAGGTATATATTTTGTGCCTGTATACAAAGATTTAAATTTATAGGTATACTTACTGCCGTTTTAGTTTTAACAACTTTTTCTTGGACAAACAATTTTTGGACGACAATGAATAATTCTTCAGACTAAAAAAATATATATAAATAAATATAAGTAAAAATTTGTTGCATTTCGATTTATTGCAGTAAATTTTATGTAAAAATTAGATCGACAATATATTTTATGGAGTTTTGGTATTATTGGTGTCTTGATTCCCTGTTTGGTTTTTATTTTTGTAATTTCCTTTGCTTTGCTATTTATGGTTTTCATTTCTTTGATTGGTTTCGATTTTATTATTGTCTAATTTACTAATTTGTTTGATGTAATATTTAATTTAAAATATGGATTAATTATTATATTTATTAATTCTTTAATATATTTAAATATAATTTTTAAATTTATTTTCTTGTAAAATGGCGAGCTAAAAGTGATTTGCAAAATATTGTGGCAATTCGTTTGTTTATCTGAGGCTTCGAGCATATATTACTATGCTCGAAGATCTGAGGGCAATTATTCCAGTTATAATTTATTTCACCCTATAGATATTAACAAAATGGACTGTCAAATTTTGATCACCAAGGCTTTTTACAAGGTGACGTTAATTTCACATGTCATTTTAATCATTTCATCTCATTTTAAAAATTAAATAGTAAAAAAATCCCAAACTTTCCAATATCAAATCAACAACTGTAAGGCTGTTCTATGCCGAAAAAATGCACTCCCGCATGCCGGCCCTGTCAACCACCTCCCTGTCGGCCTCCTTGTGTACCACCGGCATGTGAATGCCCATGCCCGCCGCCTTGTCCAGAATCTGGCACATGCGGTTGTGGATCCAGGTGCGTCAAATGCTGTCCACCGCCTCGAAGACCTAGAGAAAATTGTGGAAAATCAACTTGCTGTTGTGCGCCATGCGTAACCAAAGAAAATTATTAAGCGGAAAAAATTGGTAGAATATAATATTTTTCATTTATCATATACATTTTTCATTATTTTTTTAAATAAAAAATAACACATACCTAGTCTGAGTGAAAATTATATTCTACTATTCAGGTGCATAGAAAATCTAACTAAACTGAAAGTCATTAATAACAGTTTCCACATTTTTATTGTATACGGAAAATCCCCATTACAACAAAATTTACAAAAATCATTTAAAAGATACAATACACACCAACAAAATCTAATGACTCATATTCCAATACTGACCTAACATAAGTTTATGAGAACGACTCCAACAGCAGCTATAGAATAGAATGCTAAACCTAATACCACTACGTATATTCATTCAAGGCGAAGCCAGGTCTGTCATATACAGACTGCAAAAAGGTTGATCACCCATAAGCAGTTTGCATTGACGCGACTACAGCGTTGTAGAACAATCAAATAATGGGAATGACTTCAGACAAAATGCTTCTAAAGTATATCTTTCAAAAGCAATATAAAGTAAGTATACCAGAGAGGGAAGCGTGGATGGAAGGATCTCCTATTCATGCAGAATTCACCTGGTATACAGACGGCTTCAAAATACATCAGGAGTAGGTATATATAGTACCAAGTCAAAGACAAGAATCTCACTGAGCTTAGGAAAACATGCAACAGTATTCCAGGCAGAAATAGCTGCAATACATCACTGTGCAAAAGAGCTATTAAGACAGAAGGTAAATGGAAAAACTATTGTCATATACTTAGACAGTCAAGCCCTAACAGAGCTGAGTAATCAAAACATACTAACAATAAGGGCAATGAAGAAACTGATTTACTAGCCCGAGAAGGAGCCTCAAATGCTCTTATTGGCCCAGAACCCTTGTGTGGTGTAACAAAAATAACTATCAGAACATGCACAAAGCAGTGGATGTTTAAAAAATCTCAGGAGTCGCGGATAAACTCACCAGGACAGAGACAGGCCAAAGAGTTCTTAAAAGGACCATCGCCTAAACTCACTGAGCATCTACTAAGCTTTAATAGGAAAAATACTAGAGTACTAGTAGGTCTATTAACAGGTCATTGTAGGTTTAACAAACATATGTATAATATCGGTCTGATAGAAGAGACCTTATGCCGATTCTGTCAGGAAGAGAAGAAAATGGCAGAACACGTATTGTGCTACTGCAAAGGTCTAACAAGATAGATTCCTTACACTTGGAGAAGAAAAACCAAGGGCAACTAGCTATACCGAAGAACTACTTTCCAGTCTATGGAGTCAACTACAAAAGACCGAATTAGACAAGGTACTCTAAACAACGATTAAAGGATATTCACAATAGATCTGAAAAGGTCGAAATGGGGGAAGCCATATGGCCCATAGGCCTAATTAACCCATAATTACTCGCGCTGGTGTGTTTTGTACACCAGCGCCATCAAAAGTACGATTTTTTGGATTTCACCAGACCCCCACTTAACCTATGTCTAAAGAGTCTAAAGAGTGAGATGCTGAATTGATTACCAACAACGAACTCTTGGATTTTTTGGTTTATTGTTCTTATCCGGATTGAAAAAAGTCAATTATACCAATTTTCACGAACTCTGGATGCAAGTTGGAACAGGACTTGATCTATTTGCAGCGTGCATGAGTTACAATCGTTTTCTTTTTATTTTGTCTAAAATTAGATTTGAGATTTGAATAAATTACCGACACCCAAAAAATAGCGTTTTTTAAAAAACAAGCTAAATTTAGGGTGGTGTACAAAGTACAGAATAATTTGGCGCGAGTAATCTAATCTAACATAAGTTGAATAAACTGTTTTAACAATAAGAGTTTGTTCGAGTTCCTTAAGACAAAACCAAAAAGTTTTAAGAGCTTTATTGTATGAGTGGTATAAGAAACAAACGATAGTTTTGTTCCATTAACACGTTTTAGAATTTACAGTTTTTGTGAACCACTCTTTTGATAAAAATGACTTACTTTAGATCCGCAGTGGTTACAAGTCTCCATAACAATAAAAAATTTCCCAGCATGAGCAATTATCCACATGCATTGCAAGCTCACGAAAATCATGCTCGAATTTCGTCCTTTTTCTAGCTCCGACACTAGAAAATACGGCGAGACAACCAAATGGATCATAACAGAAAACAATATTATCTATAAAAAAAGTATTAATAATTTTATATTTTAACACGTTCGCGGTTCCATGTAATGCGCAGTGAACGTGTTAATATATAGTTTTTTAGATATACCACTATAACGAAACCTCCTGTTCCATTGATGATTTCAATAGTTTCAACTAGTTTTTTATGTACAGTTGCTAGTTGATATACTCTTAAAGCTAAAAATTAAAAAATGTACTTCTTCATTACGGTAGCTTACATTGCAATGTCTATATAATCACCTGTATCATTAATCTTCATATTGTAAGTCATAGTCGGAGGTAAAACCTTTATTTCGCCATTTTCAAAGCCGCTAACATCAAAAATTCGTTCCTTAATTATTTTCTTCAAAGATTCTACCAAATACACTATTCTGAAGGATGTAAAATAAACCAAATGACAGAAAAACAATATTTCAGTGAGCATGATGTATTTCAAGACATAAAATGGTATAAAATCCTTTAGAAGAGTGTAAGCACAGTCTATTTTCTCATAATTTGCGTGCCACGTTAGCAAATCTAATAAGTAAAAGATGGTGTAAATGCAAAAAACTGTTGTAATAAACAGAATTGATGTTATTCTGTGTCGCTTGGGATTTCGGATAATTAGACTTCTTTCAATCTATAAAAATAATAGTTTAATTTAGTTTTAAACATTTTGAACATTAATACCCAGCAAACACAAACACGTAACTTTTATGTATCATTTACATGTACTAGTTCCGTGTTACATAACAAAGTAACTTACATGTTACATAATAACTCATGTGATTACTGTGAAAAATGACCTAATTTTGTTATATAGCAGGTTTCTTATATATGATGTAATGTGTTAAGTACATGTAAGGAACAATGTTATATATCAAAAGACATGTAACATTTATATTACCATTGTAACATTTAATATATGCTTCATTATTACAGAACATATACATTACTTTTTTCATGTAACATGAATATTATAAATGTTATATAAATGAAGGTATGTAAATGTGTCGTCTCAAAATGTAGGTATTAGTTATACAGTATGTCTACTTAAGTTGGAACCAAATGGAAAACTTTTTTTATTATTGGTGTTGTGAAAAAATGTATTCTTGATAAAAAGTTCTGCATGGTCCAAAACTTAAAAAATCATCAGATATTAATTTATTTAAGCTGTATACGAGGTTTGTCTAAAAATATGAATTTTACTCAAGAGTAAAGTACCTTTATTTTTTACAATACAGAAGAACATTATAAAGTAAAGTTATATTCAAATATACAATTACAGTCATTTAGCATGAAAATTCAGGTTAACTTTACTTCATAACATTCTTCTATATTGTAAAATATAAAGGTACTTTACTCTTGAGTAAAATTAATATTTTTGGCAAACCTCGTATAGTGCTTAAAAAAATTGATATCTGATGGTTGCATTTTAAGTTTTGGACCATGCAGAACTTTTTATCAAGAATATATTTTTTCACAACACCAATAATAAAAAAGTTTTCCATTTGGTTCCAACTTAAGTAGACACACTGTATGACAAATACTTACAAAAAAAACGTCGAAAATATTTGGTGGATAAAGAAAAGTAATTTAAACGTATTTGTTAGGTATATCAATAATTTTATTGGTCAAATTCATAACCGATACCAAAAATGTATTATAAAAATATTGCACACAAATATAACCCAAATTCATCATAAAAATCACAAAATATCTGCCATTAACGACGATCCACGACCTCAAAATTCAGGGCCCCATAAAGCATGACCTGAAAAGAGAACAAAAATTAATATTTACAACTCAAATGTATCATCGAAATACAGCACACACGTATAATAACTCAATTCCATTATAAAAACACAACATACCTGCTATTGTTCACAAAAAAACAAAAATGCCACAGGTACCTCCATAAAACGCCTATAGCCGCCATTGAACATTGAAATGCTACTAAAAATAATGCACCAGATATACCTACTTACCTACCTAAAAAACATATGTATAGAGAAAGTAAAAGTTAAAAAGTCTTTTGGTAGGTAGAGAGGGGGTAAACGTCAAACCACGTCGGGCGGCTCCGAGAATTTCACAGTAATGTTTACCTGCCAGTGTCGTTTCATAGAATAAGTAATTTTAAATTGTTATCGGCGGAACCGGACAATCGCATGTATTTATGGATTATAAATAATTATTAAACATGTATTATAATATTCAAATTATAATTTTACAAAATTTCAACAGCTATTCACAATTTATTAAACTATTTACTCGAAATTGTTATTAACATCTATAAAATAATTTTGTACGCCAATGTATCGTGTCCACTTCGGTGAGATCCGCTGACAACCTGTCAAGTTATGTGTATAAAGTGGGAGAACTGGCAAAAGCATTTCCAACTTTTACTTCTGTTCTATTTCAAGGACCGTTTGGTCAACAGCATTTATGTATATATACGCTATGTAACATTTTGAACGAAATAATTTAGTACAAATTGTTACTTTAATGTAGATTACATATAGATATATAAATAGATATAATCTTTATGTGAGGAAATTTATATAACAGATATGTAATTTTTGTAATATATATTATAATTATAAACATGGTATATAACTATCGTGCTAAGTTTAAACTTAGGTGTTCGGTTCCATAAATAACACATAAAAGTGCATGGTATAAAAAATAAAATAAAAGTGCATACAAGACAGTCTAACAGCCGTATGCATAGTCGATCGCCAGCGACTCGCCAGCGAAACGCTGGCGATAGCCCAAGAAGCTGGCGACTCGCCGGAGATTGTCACCGGAATGTCATTTCACGCAAGTTTTCATGTTCTTTTATAGGGAAAAATTTGATATTCGTTCATTATTTTTTGAGTTTGTTAATGAATCACGAATAAAATGCGAGAGATACCGGTGATAATCCCTATAAAAGAAAATAAAAACTTGCGTGAAATGACATTCCGGTGACAATCTCCGGCGAGACGCCACCTTTTTGGGCTTTCGCCGGCGGATCGCCAGCGAATCGCTGGCGAAACGCCGGAATGAATCTCTGGCGAGTCGCTGGCGGTCGACTATGCATACGGCTGTAAGTATATTTTATCCTTCTTAGTTATGTAACAGGAGGGAACATGTTACCGAATGGTTTGCTGGGTATAAACGATATTCATTATTAAATGTCATAGATGTTAACAGAAAGGATGGTTCATTCCTAATAAAAAGGTCTAAACTATTTTTAAATGGTTTAATTCACAAGCAAGTATTTTCAAAATACAATGTTGTTGTGGTACTGCCACTGTCTAGTCGCGTACTGCCAGAGACAATTAGAGACGGGCAACTCAATGTAAATAATTGGTTCGGCAAAATTTGACTGGGCGATTCTATAAAAGGCACCAACCGAGGGCGCTGTGCACGGCGCTCACACAACCGGAAATTCAGATCGCTTAGATCTTCTTTTTAATTGTATCTTCTTCTTTGTAAATGGTCTCTTCTTGCGTTAGTAACCATATTAATCTGATAAACATTGGGATAGGTCATGGATAAGCGGGAATTTTAAATGAAATCAATGTTTCTACTTAAGTTGACAGCATATTATGGAAAATTTATTATTAGTTTTAGGAAAAAAATTATAGGGCTTGTCAGAAATTATGAATTTTTCTTAAGCCTGAGGGACTTTTACATTACAACAAATTAATATTTACTTTTTTTCCTAACACTAATAAAATAATTTTCCATATGCTGCCAACTTAAGTAGACACTAAATATGTATTATTTTTTCGAAGTTTAATTCTTTTATAATTATTTTTTTTGAAAAGTTTATGATCAACAAAACGCTAACCATAAATTTATGTAGTGTTTTTTCTTTTTATGTCATTAAGGAAAATGTTTAATAAATAAAATTGTAGTATACCATCGTTTTTATATTTTTATTCATGATAATAATTAAAAATATCGATATTAAATACCTATATTATAAACAACAGAACTAAACAAACAAAAACCAACCTTAAATTGCAATGACATAAATACATAAAAAAAGACAATAATTGGCAAACATGAAACATGGGATTAATTTAAACAACCATAAAATACCATAGATATGTGCATTTAAAAAAGAAAAGTAATATCTTAATAATAATAAATATTAATTAAAAAATAAAACAATGAAATAAACGAATCGAAAAATAAAACCCACTGAAGAGGGCTGTTCTATCATGTGCCGAAAACTATATTATAAATTATATATGTAACATTTTTTTAATTTTTTTTGATTGTGTAATTTTTTTTGTGACCTAATTTCACTCATTTTTTTACACCACCAAGGAATGCATATTTTCCACACTGCTTTAAAAAATGATATCATAAGAAAATGTATATGAGTGGTACATGTTACCCATTCAAAATCTATTTTTACTTCAAATAGCTTTTCTATTTCCTTACTTAAATTTAAAATGTTAGCACGAGACTCAAGAAAATCTTCCAATAAGCTTATAGCTGTTCCAACCGAAACTACTGGTTCTTGTGCAGGGTAAATGAGTCTTTCTTGGTTATCTGACCACTCTTTGAAACTTATAAATAAATTATGAGGTGCCTCTGAATTAGATAATAGAATTTTATTGCATATGTTGCACTTATAAACTAGCAAAATTTTTTTTACGATAAATCCTGCAACATATGCAACAGACATCATAGATGCTACAGAACTGCATCCACAAATTAAACAAAATGCCGGCATTGCTATTTAATCAAAAAAAGTCGAAACTATTTTAGCTTTAGTAATATAATAAGCTCTTGAAAATGCAAACAAAATACGTTACTAACACTACACACACTACAATATAAAAAGCCACAATATAAAATAAACACAAAATGTTTCCAAAACATAACCTCTAACGAAAAGCTAGGCTAGAAATAACGACTTTTACTTACTTACTCTGAGACTTTTACAAAGAAGTAGAGAGGGTAGAACCATAAGGTACCGTCTGCGCATCCATCACGAGTGTAGAAATTATGCGTGATTCAGCCTTCCACTCTTACACACGTAAATGACAAGGAGAGGTTGCCCTAAAGCACTGTAAACAAATTCCAGGATCGACTTTATTCAGCGATTATGTTCATGTTCAGCTCTGTTTTTTGTTTGTGTTTTAGCTGTTGTAAGATTTTTTGGCGTCAATTCTTTGTTATCTTGCTTATATTTATGATTTTTTATGCTTTTATTTCGATTTAGTATTAAATTATACTTGTTAATTATTTTTCGATGCACTATTTTATAATTGTTGCACAAAATGTTGTTAAACCGTCCCTGAATTTTGTTTACAAAATGGGCAAAACGAAATTGTGCATAGTGTCCAGACTTTTTCATTGACAGTTATCATTCTACCCCTCTCCACTTCATTGGACGACTTTTATGACAAAATTGACAGATATATACATGACAGAACAGAAAGAGAAGGGGTCTATGGTGGCGACATCTCACCATTGCCTTGAGTGATTTGTAAAAGAGATAGTCATATCCACAAATAATAAGAGAAAGGGAGAAAACGATATACACTGCATGAGCGATCCACAGAACCGATTTTTATATGAAGTTACACGTCTCATAGTTGTCTCTGGTACTGCCTACTGCCAGTGTTACCAGGCCTTGTCAACCGCAAATCTGTAGAATTCAAAAATCAAACGAAATTTGTAGCAAACAAAGTTTTTAATACTAAAAAGTAACAAAAAAAATTTAAAATATACATTAACTAACATTTTTTAAGAAGAAAAACTTAAAAATTAAATTTTAATCGTAGAAAATAATGAACAAAACCCACTATATAATTAATATTTTTAAAAGTAAAAACTTAAATAATAATGAAGGGACATTTTTTACAAAATTTTAATATTAGAAAACTTTATAACTCCAAACTGTAAAACTATCGAATTAATTATTTTTCATTTTCTAAAATTCCCCTATTTATAACTTCGTTGCTTGTGATTCCCGATTTCTAGTGTATTTCCCTCTATAGAATTATTAAAATTCCAACGAGAATATAATATTAGGCAATTAGCAGGGGCGTGTGTAGAGTGTGTTATCCTTCCTCCATGTTGTGTTGTATAAAAGGAGATCTCATCGTCAGAATTAAGTCCAGGTTCAACCAATGAACTGGAGGGGGGTAGAATGCCAATGTACATTACTATTAGAACAAGGTACGACTCGATGAGCGTAGCCATTTTTATTGTTCATCTCACTCGGGACTATTTATAATACCCATTTTCTGTTTCATATTGTTATTGTTCAATCCACAAGCTGGTGGATCAGACAATAACAATATGAAATAGAAAATGGTTATTTTAAATACTCCCGAGTGAGATGAAAAATAACCTATCTTCGCCCATAGAGTCGCACATCAAGTCTATTGACAAGCATTCTACCCCACTCCAGTTCATTGGGTTCAACGCGTTGTCAATGACAAGTGACGGCTACTTTTTTATTACAAAAAATACAGTCCTGAATGATAATATTTTCAGATATTGTTTTTAAACATGGGTTCAGAGTACGATACAGAATGGTGGAAAGTCTATAATTTGTTTTACTTTTAATGCATAATATTTTAATAAGTGATATTTAACAAATATTTAAAAGTTATGGAGATAGAAATTTAAAGTGACGTCTTGTATTACTTCGAATTAAAAATCGTTTTCTAACCTAAGAAAAAAGTTGAGATGGGTCTTAAGAAAGTTTATAAAAAAAATACAAAATATATGTAGTTAAGAATAGGTACGTTTTTGGTACAAAATGCAATGTTAAGTAAATATTTGTATAATATAATCAAAGATTATTTGAAAAATCGGTAGATTGCCAAAAAATCGGTATATCGGTAGATTTGTATAGATTAATATCAAAATCGGTAGATCTACCGATTAATCGGTAGAAATGGCATCACTGCTGCCTACTGCGCTGGTCTCAGGGTTGTCAGACCGGTCGTATCAATTTTCTCCCAAAACCACAACTTTATTATAAAAACCCCCACAAAAAATTAAAAGTACACAATTTGAAATACAATACTTAAGCCAAAAGTTTGCAAAAAGATTGTTCGTTGTGACGAAATTTTAAAAACCCCCAAAATATTAATAATTTAATAAAAAAATCGAAAAAAACTTTAATAAACGTTGACACAACAATATAATTTATATTTATGGTAAAAACAACACAAATTTGGATTCTAATTAATAAAAATAAATCTGAAATCTTAATGTGTTTAAATATAACTTAAATATTAATATGCCAAATTAAATAACCCACAAAATACCCCCGGGTATTGTCATACGACATGCTAATGATAATTTATGTCATTTATTATAACTCAAAATGCTACTTACCTCATTAAAATTTTTGCATATCTTCCAAAACGAATTCATCTGTTTTGGTGTTGCTAGTATACATAGCATTACTATTAAAGTTATAGTTAAAATATCGCATGCGGTTAAATATACCCTCTTCTTGTCATGTTCTTTGGCGAATTGTGCTTCGTTGTCGGGCAGACCGAGTAAAGTTATTACACCTGAAAATAAATATAATGGTTCAAGCACAGCTTATACAATACAGCTAAAACACTCTCTTGGCGGCAACGGTTTGCGTCGATTTCGTCGCGCATCGCTTAAGCTCCGCCTTCGAAGGGAAAAGACGGTTTTGGTATTCAGAAGCGTACTTAGGTAAGGTGTTGAGTCGTGCGTATAATTTCGTTGATTGTATAATTTCGTGGAGCCTATAATTTCGTTGATTGTATAATTTCGTGGAGCCTATAATTTCGTTGATTTTGTTTGAGTTAAAGGTACTGTTATTATTTTGGTGACTCTTTAGCTATGAGTAGAATGAGTGAAAAAAAAAGACATCATTCTGTTTGTGCAGTCAAAAGCTGTTTTAATAAGGGTTATACCTGCAAGAAAACATTCTTTAGTTTTCCCAAGGACCCAAACCGATAAGTACCACATTATAAGAAATTTTCATTGTTAAAAATATAATTTATACAGGGTATCCCATTAGTGCGTTATTGTTCATTATTTTGTTGTAGACACGCAAGAAAGTTTTAAATAAAAGTTATATGGATTTGAAAAATACCTACATATTTTAAAAATATCTTTGGATATACAGGGTGTCACGTTTTTGCCTGGCAAATTAAAATGTATGTTTTTTCAATGGAACACCTTGTATTTTATTTTATGATAAAATTATTAACACCCTAAATTATTGTAAAGACGAATTGATACAGAAAAATTTTATCAGGTATGTGTGTGGTTACCTTTTAATAAAAGCCTTGCGGATCCACTCCTCTGCGATACCTGTCTTAAATATAACAAAGATCACGTTGAATTAGATGATTTTTCTTTTTATTGCTTTTTAAAGGCATATGATAACGCCAATCCAGATACATTTGGAAATCTGCAACTGTCAAATGATGAATTTGTAGAACTAATATTCAATATTGAAAAGATATTTCAAAATAATTTTGAAGAATTGGATACAAAAAATACCATTTGTACCACACTTTTAGAATTAATTAACCCAATACCCTTTAGTCATCCATGCTAACGTTTTCCAAAAGAATAACTTATTTTATTGTATGTTTAATCTCAATTACTAAAAAATATACTGACAATTAGTTTGACAGAATTGTCATTTATTTAAAATTTTAATAATAATAGCAGTCGGTTGATCAAAATATGAACGGTGATTGGCGAATTTATTTTTTTTTTGCAGTGTTCTCACTACCTAGAATGGATATGAAATATATTCGTTCAATTGAAGGCAATAGCATACTTTTTCGTTTTGTAATCTGTGCATGGATATTAGCCAATCTATGCACATACTACAAAACGAAAAAGTATGTTATTGCGTTCAACTACGAATATATTTCATATCCATTTTAAGTAGTGAGAACACTTTAACAAAATTAAATCTACAAATCACAGTTCATATTTTGGTCACCCAACTCCTATTATTTAAATTTTTTTAAATAAGTGACAATTCTGTTAAACTAATTGTCAATATATATTTTAGTTATTGATATTAAATATACATTAAAATTTTTGTGTAGACTCGATAAATAATAGCATTTTTGTTTTTATTGTGTCCACATTTAAAAAAAAATAAATTTTAATCAAACTACATGATACTAATTTAATTACGAGTATTAAAACTAAAGTCCTGAAAGTTTCGGTGAAGATGAGGACAGATCATCTGCCTTCCACGCGAAAAGCCCGGGATCGAATCTAGGCCGAGGACTAATTAATTTTTCATGTTAATTTTATTTTATAAATTAGTCAACTTCGTAAATTATTTTAAAATTAGTTATTTTGTCTAAATAACCTAAAATAATTTTTTAAATTTGTAGATTTTCGTTAGTAGGTCGTAGAAAAAATATACTGACCATATAGAGTGGATTGTTCATATCACAATCAGACGATTGAGTACTCCGCATACGACGTCGTGCTCAAACTTCGTCTTTGTGTGATATTGCTATCATATCCACCCTTGTTGAACAAACTATAATTTATTTGTTTTCTTGGTTTAAACCAAAACTTAAGTTTTACATCAGAAATAGGAACTAAATTAATTTACTTTTCAAGTTTTCTTATAAAAATCGATATTACTTTCTCCAAGTACAAATTTAGTACCTACCTAAAATAAGTACTAATTATGTAATATCGTGTAATATTGTAATTCAAATTTCACATTACTATAAAGTTTCAAAATTCCCTACTTCGGTATGGTCAGATAAAAATTGAATATATTATATTAATAAAAACTGTCAAAGTATTACTTCTACAAATCTGTATTTCAATTAATAAGAATACATCTAATTATAACCAATATTGTTAAAATAAAAGCACAAATTCTTTATAATTCCAAAATACCATAGAGTTCCCAGACCTCAGTCGAAGCATTCGTTTATCTAGGTATAAACCCTTTGCGCGAAGAGACCACTTGATTTGCATCCACGAGCGTGACACAATTCTTTAACAATTGAAGCCCTTGGTGTAAAAAGGATCCAAGCCACAATTTGTCGTGAAGTGACTGTTTTAGCTCAAAACATTTGTTAACGAGGATTTTACTAGCCACATACAAATTATTTTACCTCTAATCCGAAAGATGTGCTATTTTTCGTAATATTTATATTTAAATAATGTTTCTAATTATATTTGACAGATTTAAAACAAATTAAAAATTTAATTTCCCAAAACTTACTTAATATGGCATGTAACCAACCTTATTACGCCAAGGTTTTCAATTTTTTCAATAATAAAAAAATTGTTTAATCCGGGCCCGACTTTTCCCTCGAATCTAACAGAGATAGCACCATTCCGTCTTGCTTGGTTCTCGACCGCCAGATCAAAGACGGCGACACGGAGTTGTGGAGCTGTATTGTATAAGCTGTGGTTCAAGCTTAACGAAACACATATTTAAATGGCATAAAACGATAATTAAAATAAAGGAAATAAAGAAATCTGTAGCGTAAATAATACACAATTACTTCTTTGGTTAATACCACAAAAGGGATTGAATTATATCCAAGGAAAAACAGTACAGATAGAAAATTTTTAAATACTCCAGCTCTGATTTTACTTACTATGATGAATGTAATCTTTAGACTGGTTTTGTCTTAAAAAATATGCAAATATACCTTGACTTATTAGTTTAAGCTGCGATTCAACCTTTCGCGATCCAGATCCAGACTTCTGGTCAGACTCTTTGTGATCTGAATATGCTATTGTGAAATACCTGTTAGTAGAATTCTATTCGAATTCTTCTTCACATTCGAAAGTTATTCACTATTCACTCCAATATTAGTAAACAAAAATACTTAATAAATAAAAATAATAAATAAATGTACTTACATAAAACACCTGGCACAACAAAACTATAAATCTGATACCCGTAGGACCATTCCAAATTGAGGAACTGTCCTTGATCCTTAAACCTAACGGGACACAACCCGAACAATCTAGAACATTTTAGAATCGGATGCATTAAGTAAAAGTTTTCCTTTGAAACTCTAATTGTCCCTTGGGGAAACATTTCAAGTGCAAGGTTAAAATGCGACTGCACGCTAGTCTAGATTTTCCAGAGAGGATATAAATAGGAAAATTTAATAACAAACAAATTATATTGTGGTTAGATGTTTGGATTGTCTGTACAAAACATTCGTTTATAAGGATAGTTTTGACGAATTTACGTTTCTGAAAGTAATAACATAGCTATTATTGTCGTGACAAAATATTTTTATATTGGAATTATTGTGGAAAAACAATTTTTTTATTATACCATTAGAGGGTTTGATCACAGAAGAAAAAACAATTGTTCTTTATCCTGTAGTTTGATCTACATATAATTCTAAATATATAACCAAGACCGATATTCTGATTAACATTGCTGCCAAATGTACGGTGTTCTTAACTGAGATGTGATGTTTGAACTCGATAAGTTGATGCCATAGGCGTACAAAAATAAATTTAAATACTAAAAAAACGTATTTACAATAAATTATTTGTAGATTTATAGTTAACGATTTACGTTAAAAATGTTAGATTTGACTATAATCTGAATACAGGAGGGAGTGCTGTAAAAGTGAAGATATAGCGTCACATTCCATAGGCGTACTTTGAAAAAAAGGTTTCTATAATATAATAAGATCTTTATCTTTGTCGGCTATAAGTAGGTAGGGTTAGGTTTGGTCCAGAACACTGCGGCCTCTTGTATTCCCCTGCTTTTCCCGTATTCAGGTACTATCTTTGAGTAGTCCTGTGTCCTTTTGGTTAGTTTTAATAAATTCCCTACTAAGTGTTCCTGGGGCGTTCTTTCTGGGTTTTAGGCTGAAAAGGATGAAATGTCGCCTAGTAAGAGCTTCGCATTCGAAGATCACATGGTATGAGGTTCCTTCCTCTTCTATGCAGAGTCTACACATAGTGGGATCATTGTGTAATCCCATCACATGAACGTGTTTTAGTAAGCAGGGTCCCATTAGTAATCCCCACAATGGTGGATATCTGAGGCTTTACGAGTTGTAGTGCTTCAATAGCCATACGTGGATTTGGTCCTCTTAGCATGAGATTACTGATTCTGTGCCCCCTTATCTGTTGCCAGTGAATTTGGTGTTTTGTGGTTATCCACCCTGTTCACTGCCTGTCGAGAAGAGGTTTTGCTTATTCTAAATACAGGGTTCGGGTCCTGTGAATGGTAGAGATATGCTCCCTCTTTGGCGAGTTCATCAGCCTTTTCATTTCGTTGGATACATTTGTGCCCTAGTACCCACGTTTAGTTTTACCTTGTTGTGGGTTGCCAGATCATTTAGTATTCCAAGGCAGTTTCAGATAGGCTTTGACTTGATTCTGTTTTGAACCAAGAGCCTTTAAGGCTGCTTGGCTCTCTAAGAGAATAAGGATGTATTGTTTTTTGTACTTCCTTCTTAAATTCTCTCGTACACACTTTGATTGCATGTATTTCACCCTGAAATACAGTGGTATGTTTTTACAGTGAGACGATTATGTCGCATATGGGTTTAACTCCATGTACGCCAGAGCCTGTTCCCTTGTTAGTTTTAGATCCATCCGTATACCATAAGAGACCGCTAAACAAGTATTTATCTATCTCCTTATTTATCTCGTTCCAGTTGCAGTTGACCTGGAGTCTGTTTGAAGGTTAGGAGGGGTGTCAATGTGATCTAATCTTATGTTTAATAAAGAGATCATTTACTTCATGTGTTATTCTGGTATGTTTAATATGTCCCAGCGGGTTCCAGTTGTTGGAGATTTATTCTAGTCTGTATGCACTCATTCTGGCCTCCCCCTTTATAACTAGGTAAGGGGTGGGAGGTTTTTAGAACGATTTCCATAGAGGCTGTCGGTGTACTTCTCAGCGACCCTATTATACAAAGGCATGACAGCCTCTGAACTCCTGAGAGGTTATGAAGGCTGTTTTCTGGTTTACTTTTGGCCACTAAACAACCGCTTCATAAGTTTATCATGGGTCTTGTTATTGCCAAATATAGCCGGTGGATCATTTTTGGTTTTAATCCCCATGTTTTTCCAAATGCGCGTCTTACCTACAATGAGAGACATTTTACATTTGTGTTGGTTCCAAGTAAGTTAGCTATCTAAAATTAGACTCAGAATATTTTACTTGGTTCGTTTTGTTTAGCCCCTCTCCTCCAAACAGAGTCGGAGTTTCTAAGACCTCCAACTTTGTTTTCCGAGTAAAGGTTATGAGTTGTGCCTTGTCAGGGTTTACCATATTTCAACGATAAATCCAGTTGGACACCCAATTATTGTCATATTATTTATGTATTGTTTACTATTCTAACTAATAACCCAGCTAGCACAAAAACATCCCATCTACGTTAATAAGCTGCAATTTTAGGCTCTTTAAGCTCGCAATGCAATGTACTGTTAATGTAACCCTATCATCCCTGCAACCACCGAATGTCCGCAACGGCAAGACTTTTATAGCACATCTCACAGAAGTTAAAAGTGAAGTTCGGAAAACATCACACCAGCACTTTTACGGTACTTACCCTGAAAGTTGCTCTGAAACTTTCTATAGATGTTATAATGTGAATTCATTCTACAGCATTATACAGTGTGTCCACGGATGGACTTAACAATACTTGTAAAAAATATTTATTTTAAATTTAAAAGTACTTCTTCATAATTTCTTTTGCTTGTTAAATAAATACGATTAACGTTGAGAAATTATGAAAAGGCTTCTGAACAATTTAAAATAAATATCTTTACAGAGTATATTTATGTCCATCCTTGGATACACTATATTCAAAATAGTATATTGAGGATATAGTAAAATCTGAAGAAAACAAAATAATAAAATTGTTATAAATTTATTATTAAAAAGCTTTTGAAATCAAGAACCAATATCATACAAGTAGAGGTAGGTATTAATAATATAGGTAAAAAAAACACTGACAAAATTGGACAAAAGTTGGTATAAAGGGGTATATAAGGAATATCTCAAAGGTTCACTAGAATCGAAACACTGAACGCTTGCACGAAAGAGTATAATAAGGTACCTATATTGCAAAGGTTCACTGGTAGCTAAAATGGTGCACGATTGTACAAAAGTAGTAAAAAGTGTATTTATATAAGGTATATTTCAAAAGTCACTAGATTTTTATTAAGATGGCAGTTTGTAGGATGCTAAAAAAAGATATTTGCCTACAACTGGTACTAATCATAGTTTTAATATGATATAAAACTGAATATTGATAAATGTAAAGTCATAAGGTTCAATAAAACAGCTAATATCATTATGCATGATTGTCATTGCAGGTTCTGAACTAAGTTTTGAGCAAACTATAAATGATCTTGATGTTATTTTTGAGAGGGACCTATAAGAGTTTGGAATGCAGATGTCGAGAAGCATCATTTGTTTTCCTGTATAAGTTATTGAACGGTTTGATTGATAGTGACAGCCTGGTACACTTTATTAGATTCCTTGTTCCTGCCAGACTTACTAGGCATATGAAACTATTTTAAGTAAATGCTCATAGAACTATGGACATAATTGATTTGTAGACCAACTGATGTCCAATTACAATAAGTATTTTTCAAATTATGACATCTTTAAAAGGTTTATTTTTTAAAGTGTCAACTTTTATTACACTATTGACTTCATTTTTATACTGTGACAATTTATTAATTTCTTTTTTAATTTTTATTTTGATATTTTAACCATTTAGAACTTTATATATCAGTAGCGTACTGTAAACAAATAAATATGTGAACTTAATTACATAGTTTCTTCCATAAAAATAACTTTGTAGATAATAAATTTACTTGTTTAATTATTATTAAGAAAATAATATATAGGTATATAAAGAAAATAAAAAAATATGCTCGTTTAAATCGTTGCACCTATTTTTAGTTGATTTTTACTTACTTTGTTTTTTTTAAATAAATAATAACATTTATTTTGACTCTTACAAATTTTATACTTAATAATGGATGTTCAACTCATACAGAACAATGTTTTTTAGCATGATATTCTGCTCTGAAAGAAAAAGAAAATAATCTCAGATGTTATATATTCTTCTTCAACAATTCTGTATTAACTTTAGCTTCTAAAATTCCAGAGATTTTTACTAGAATTATAATCCAGCACAAAGGAAACCTAAAACACAATATTTTTAAAATTTATATTTAGTGATTAAAATATTATTACACTAGGGCGACCATACTTACAGCAATTTTTCTGTATTGTAAAGCATTTTTAAAGTTTGTCCAGCAAATTGTTATTGTGCAGCAAACGTACAGCAAAATGGCATAGGTATATATATCCAGTGAAATGCTGTATTTATCCACCAAAACGTCACTACTGTCCAGCAATGGTAATACTTAATTTACTGAAACGTAACAAATTTAAATGTTATTTATCTTTAGTGAACTACATGAGCACTTCTATACTGCTGTTCTAGCAAGAAAGGTTTTATCTGCAAAATTAGCAGTTTTTTTTTATGTGCATTTGTCTACATTTTATCATTCGCGATACTGAAAGGAATGTCTTATTTGTAACAAATGGTACTAAAATGTTAAAAAGTTACACAAAAAAAGGTTTAAAAGATAATAAATATAAATTTTCAGATAGGACTTCTCTTGTTAGGATGGCAGTATATGACTTCTCTGTTTTTTGTATTTTTATAATTGGGGAGTAGGGTTGAGTATCGGTCAAGGGTATCAATACCGGTATTCATGTGAGATACTTTGTGGTAGAGGCATCGATACTGTTCGATATTATGTTAAAGATATTGATATTTATAAGTCTCGAGTAACCAAAGTATCGAAAAAGTAAAAGATTTTTGTTAAACGGGCTGGCAACCCCCATTCACAGGACGGAGTAGGGAACTTAACTAATAACAAGAGTGCATCAGTAAAGTATATTCTGTAGTCGACACCTTTTCTTTTCTCTACTGGTACTCTACATGGTACAAGTTATAGTGTCAATAACTGGCAATTTACCTTATAATTAAATAACAAAAAAACAGTGGTAACGCTTAATCATATTACCAAGTTTCACCACATGCAAAAAACTAAATATTTCAGTACAAATATTTGAACAAACCTTATAATCTCTCGACCACACACATAGCGATACAATACTTGCTTCTAAGTATCACTATGGCGATAGTATTGGTAATTCAGTGCCTAAATATCGATACTTTCATTGTTTAATATCGTTACTTCTATAGTATTAAGGCATCAATAAGAATCCTTATTATCGTGTAAAATAAAAATTTCATCATTTAATTGTATCTACTTGTTTACAATGATTTATTTTTTTATTGTATTTGGAAATTGAAATTTTTGCCATCTAAAACAACAAACAATAAATTAGAAAATTAGAAAATTGATTGAAAGAAGAAAACAACTTACCAAACTTATAGTTTCCAATTTCTTTAAAATCTGAAATACGTACAAGAAAAAGTGACAAGTGACATTTTTTTATGTTTTGTTGGTTATGACAAACGAATGGCTACGTTCGAAAGTCCATAGTACTTCTCGTGGAAACTTTTTTAGCAAGTTACTTAATTACGTTGTGTTATCATAACAGGCAGGTTAAATACGTAAGTAACAAATAGATGTTTCGCGAGGTTTTGATTTCCCTCAACAACTTCTCATTAACGGTTGCAATTACGTTGTATGGGTATGTTATTATGTTCCCTTAAAACAACATCGCCGAAAGGCTTGGTAACGTTATGTGCTAGCTGGGAAAACTACCTACTTTATTTTTAATTTGCATAAATTGTTGGTTTTCATGACATATTTCTATGTTTTGATAGAAAAATTATCTGACATACTCCAACAATATTATGTTCTCAGAAAATGTAGAGAATTGATCATTAATAACTATCTGCATATGTCGCTACTATTCCGTAAGTTTATTGAACGTAGTGCTATATTTTTTTGGCTAACTTTCATTATGACTCTAACAATACATGGTGTAGCAAATCCCTGGAGTTTAAAAAATGTAACTTTTATAAAACTGCACTATATGTCAACACAGTTTAATATTCAACATATTTTTATTGATATTATTAGTAGGTTTATTATGTACATTTTATACCACTTCAAAGTCAAATTCTTAATTAAAATAATAGTCATATTCATCCACTTAAAAACTAACGTACCACATTTCTATCAGCCTAAGAGCTCGTTGAATGTGTTCGAAGACTGTGGTTTGGTGTTTCCCTCGGATAAGGACGACTATGTCATCGCGTATCCTAGGGCGTACAGCCCTTGATTGTTCAGTATTTTCAGCAGTTTAACTGTCACTAGATTCCACAGTAGAGGAGAAAGGACTCCACCCTGTGGGCATCCCGTGTGGATATTCACCTGCATGGTTTCAGTGAACATTTGTGCCTGTACTTGCTCTCCGCGTAACATTGTTTTTCTATCCACCAGCAGATGGTGTCTTCTATTCCATGTTTGCGAGCGGCAGCTACCATTGATTTAAAGGAGGTATTATCAAAGGCTCCTTCTATGTCAA